TATGTAGCACAAAATCTGAGGAGAAATGTCTTTGGAGGATATCTTTCTGAGGAGAAATCTCCACGTGGAACAAAATCTGAGGAGAAATGTCTTTGGGGGATGTCTTTCTGAGGAGAAAGCTCCACGTGGAACTAAATCTGAGGAGAAATGTCTTTGGGGGATGTTTTCTCTGAGGTGAAAATGGTATATAGCCAAAATCTAAGGAGAAATGTCTTTGGGGGATGTCTTTCTGAGGAGAAAGCTCCACGTGGAACCAAAGCTGAGGAGAAATGTCTTTGGGGGATGTCTTTCTGAGGAGAAATCTCCACGTGGAACAAAATCTGAGGAGAAATGTCTTTGGGGGATGTCTTTCTGAAGAGAAAGCTCCACATGCAACAAAATCTGAGGAGAAATGTCTTTGGGGGATGTCTTTCTGAGGAGAAAGCTCCACGTGGAACAAAATCTGAGGAGAAATGTCTTTGGGGGATGTCTTTCTGAGGAGAAAGCTCCACGTGGAACAAAATCTGAGGAGTAATGCTTTTGGGGGATGTTTTCTATGAGGTGAAAATGCTATATGGCACAACATCTGAGGAGAAATGTCTTTGGACAATGTCTTTCTGAGAAGAAAGCTCCACGTGGAACAAATCTGAGGAGAAATGTCTTTGGGGGATGTTTTCTCTGAGGTGAAAAGGCTATATGGCACAACATCGGAGGAGAAATGTCTTTGGGGATGTCTTTCTGAGGAGAAAAGCTCCACGTGGAACAAAATTGAGGAGAAATGTCTTTGGGGGTGTCTTTCTGAGGAGAAAGCTCCACGTGGAACAAAATCTGAGGAGAAATGTTTTTGGGGGATGTCTCTCTGAGGAGAAAGCCCCACGTGGAACAAAATCTGAAGAGAAATGTCTTTGGGGGATGTTTTCTCTGAGGTGAAAATGCTATATAGCACAACATCGGAGGAGAAATGTCTTTGGGGGATGTCTTTCTGAGGAGAAAGCTCCACGTGGAACAAAATCTGAGGAGAAATAGCTTTGGGGGATGTTTTCTCTGAGGTGAAAATGGTATATAGCACAAAATCTGAGGAGAAATGTCTTTGGGGGATGTCTTTCTGAGGAGAAATCTCCACGTGGAACAAAATCTGAGGAGAAATGTCTTTGGGGATGTCTCTCTGAGGAGAAATCTCCACGTGGAACCAAAGCTGAGGAGAAATGTCTTTTTGGGGGATGTCTTTCTGAGGAGAAAGCTCCACGTGGAACCAAAGCTGAGGAGAAATGTCTTTGGGGGATGTCTTTCTGAGGAGAAATCTCCACGTGGAACATAATCTGAGGAGAAATGTCTTTGGGGGATGTTTTCTCTGAGGTGAAAATGCTATATAGCACAACATCGGAGGAGAAATGTCTTTGGGGGATGTCTTTCTGAGGAGAAAGCTCCACGTGGAACCAAAGCTGAGGAGAAATAGCTTTTGGGGGATGTTTTCTCTGAGGTGAAAATGGTATATAGCACAAAATCTGAGGAGAAATGTCTTTGGGGGATGTCTTTCTGAGGAGAAAGCTCCACGTGGAACTAAATCTGAGGAGAAATGTCTTTGGGGGATGTTTTCTCTGAGGTGAAAATGGTATATAGCCAAATTCTGAGGAGAAATGTCTTTGGGGGATGTCTTTCTGAGGAGAAAGCTCCATGTGGAACCAAATCTCAGGAGAAATGTCTTTGGGGGATGTCTCTCTGAGGAGAAAGCTCCACGTGGAACCAAAGCTGAGGAGAAATGTCTTTGGGGGATGTTTTCTCTGAGGTGAAAATGCTATGTGGCACAAAATCTGAGGAGAAATGTCTTTGGGCGATGTCTTTCTGAGGAGAAAGCTCCACGTGGAACAAATCTGAGGAAAAATGTCTTTGGGGGATGTTTTCTCTGAGGTGAAAATGCTATATGGCACAAAATCTGAGGAGAAATGTCTTTGGGGATGTCTTTCTGAGGAGAAAGCTCCACGTGGAACCAAATCTGAGGAGAAATGTCTTTGGGGGATGTCTTTCTGCGGAGAAAGCGCCACGTGGACCAAATCTGAGGAGAAATGTCTTGGGGGATGTTTTCTCTGAGGTGAAAATGGTATATAGCCAAAATCTGAGGAGAAATGTCTTTGGGGGATGTCTCGCTGAGGAGAAATCTCCACGTGGAACAAAATCTGAGGAGAAATGTCTTTGGGGGATGTCTTTCTGAGGAGAAATCTCCACATGGAACCAAATCTGAGGAGAAATGTCTTTGGGGGATGTTTTCTGTGAGGAGAAATCTCCACATGGAACAAAATCTGAGGAGAAATGTCTTTGGGGGATGTTTTCTGTGAGGAGAAATCTCTACATGGAACAAAATCTGAGGTGAAATATCTTTGGGGGATGTCTTTCTGAGGAGAAATCTCCATACAGAACAAAATCTGAGACTTGTCTTTGGGCCATTCTCCTCTTGGTGAAAATTCTATGTAGCACAAAATCTGAGGAGAAATGTCTTTGGAGGATATCTTTCTGAGGAGAAATCTCCACGTGGAACAAAATCTGAGGAGAAATGTCTTTGGGGGATGTCTTTCTGAGGAGAAATCTCCACGTGGAACAAAATCTGAGGAGAAATGTCTTTGGGGGATGTCTTTCTGAGGAGAAAGCTCCACGTGGAACTAAATCTGAGGAGAAATGTCTTTGGGGGATGTTTTCTCTGAGGTGAAAATGGTATATAGCCAAAATCTGAGGAGAAATGTCTTTGGGGGATGTCTTTCTGAGGAGAAAGCTCCACGTGGAACCAAAGCTGAGGAGAAATGTCTTTGGGGGATGTCTCTCTGTGGAGAAAGCTCCACGTGGAACCAAAGCTGAGGAGAAATGTCTTTGGGGGATGTTTTCTCTGAGGTGAAAATGCTATATGGCACAAAATCTGAGGAGAAATGTCTTTGGGCGATGTCTTTCTGAAGAGAAAGCTCCACGTGGAACAAATCTGAGGAAAAATGTCTTTGGGGGATGTTTTCTCTGAGGTGAAAATGCTATATGGCACAAAATCTGAGGAGAAATGTCTTTGGGGGATGTCTTTCTGCGGAGAAAGTGCCACGTGGACCAAATCTGAGGAGAAATGTCTTTGGGGGATGTTTTCTCTGAGGTGAAAATGGTATATAGCCAAAATCTGAGGAGAAATGTCTTTGGGGGATGTCTCGCTGAGGAGAAATCTCCACGTGGAACAAAATCTGAGGAGAAATGTCTTTGGGGGATGTCTTTCTGAGGAGAAATCTCCACATGGAACCAAATCTGAGGAGAAATGTCTTTGGGGGATGTTTTCTGTGAGGAGAAATCTCCACATGGAACCAAATCTGAGGAGAAATGTCTTTGGGGATGTCTTTTCTGAGGAGAAATCTCCACATGGAACAAAATCTGAGGAGAAATGTCTTTGGGGGATGTTTTCTGTGAGGAGAAATCTCTACATGGAACAAAATCTGAGGTGAAATATCTTTGGGGGATGTCTTTCTGAGGAGAAATCTCCATACAGAACAAAATCTGAGACTTGTCTTTGGGCCATTCTCCTCTTGGTGAAAATTCTATGTAGCACAAAATCTGAGGAGAAATGTCTTTGGAGGATATCTTTCTGAGGAAAAATCTCCATATAGAATAAAAGTTGAGGAGAAATATCTTTGGGGGATGCTTTGTCTGAGGTGAAAATTCTCTATAGCACAAAACGTGAGATTTAATGTCTTTGGTGGATATGTTTCTGAAGAGAAATCTCCACATGGAACAAAATCTGAGGAGAAATGTCTTTGGCGTATGTTTATCTGAGGTAAAATCTCCATATAGAACAAAAACTGTGGAGAAATGTTTTTGACAGACACTTTTTCTCAGGTGAAATTTCCCTGTAGCACTAAATCTGCGCGAGAAATGTCTGTGGTGGATGTATTTCTGAGGAGAAATCTCCATATAGAATAAAATCTAGGAGAAGTGATTTTTCTAAGCCAAAAGTAATATATTGCACATTCTGTTAGGACACATGTTTTTTTTGGATTTTTACAATGTTTAACTGTTCATATAGAAGATTATCTCAGCTGAAATATTCTGAGTTTGTTTTATGTGTTTCTTGTGTTATTTCGTTTCTAATTGTATATACACATCTGATATAAAACATGTTTTCATGTATTTTTTGATGGCGATGTACGGTGTAGTGAACATTTGATTGGATGTATGTTTTGATGTTTTTTTCCTAGGGCCAAAGTTGTATATGGAGTATGCAGCACTACTCAAAATCTTCCTTTTCCATAACTTAAATCATTGAGTGACCTTTTTTCTTGCTGCTCTTGCAGTTGCACCTACCCTCTGCTAGTGGTCTATCATCCAAGAACAGTCTAGAATTTCAGGTCGCACCACTCTCCTACTGAATCCAACTCTGGTTTTCAACGTGCCCTCTGTTTCATGTCCACATTGAATTTTATAAAACTTGGACACTTTGGAAAATTCTGACTTCACCTGGATTTCTGTCCTCAGCCCAAACTGCTATAAATCATTATAATCTTTTCTCGTGCTTAGAAAGCCCCACACCTGGGTAGACTCCAGAGTCAAGTAGTCCAAGTAAGTGTGTGTTTTCCTCATTTCAAATCTGTCATCACCTGTGGCTTCACAGAAAACAGGTCTAGGCCTGCCCATCTCCTTGTGGGGCTTCTCAAGCCTGAAGGAACCTTGACAGAAGCCTCCCACTCTGAGTAAACCCATTGGCCAGCATCAGCTCATACGCCCCTTCTTTATACTAGTCACTGGCAAGTGCTCTTTGATGGGCAAACTACAATGGAGAGTAAACTCCAGTTGTTGGCAAGTTGCCACCATGGCAAATAGGTCCAAAGGAGGGAGGATTAGGCCTGAGCTGCCATGGTTTACTTTTTGGCTCCTCCATTCCTTGTAGCCTACTGACCTTGTTGAGAAAGAATGAAAGAGTCCTGGACCATCTCAAATCCATGTCCCTCCTGATCTAGGCCTCCCACCCTCAACCTGAAGCCAAGAACTCAGCATCGGGACCAAAATAATACTGTTTTATTTCAATATTGAAGAACAGTAGTCCAGATGGTTCCTCCCCAATTCATCTCACCAGACTCAGCACCCCATTTCTTCTGTGAATGACCAACTGGGAGGTGCAGTGGATGCAAGTCTCTGGGACTTAAAGAAACACCCAACATTCCCTCCTCTTCCCATCTCCCATACCTTTCCTTTGTGTTTTTTCTGCTCTTTGGTCTACCTGTGCCTTATCCTCCCTACCCCCTGGTGCTGGCTCCTTTCTGTCTCCCTTGCTGATACTACTCCTTTACCACTCCTGCTCTGGGCTTCTTTCTCCCTAGTTTGTTCTCCTTAGCCCAGCTCTCCCCAGATCCTGGTGTCCGCCCCTTCCCCAGCTTTGTCCCTTTCCTTCTGCCCTAGCCTCACCCTGTCTACCACTTCTCAGTGCACATTTCCTCTGAGGGAAGCCCTCAGGATCCGCTCTGCCTGCCATCATCTTCCACAGCGGTGACTCCAGGGCCTCAGAGACCACTGTCAGCTTCCCGGCAGACCCCGAGAGGCACACTGTCAAGATGAGGACCCTGGATGACTCAGGAAGTGGCCAGAGGGACTGATGTGGCCTTAGCCTTATTATCTTTGGGATCGAAGCATGCCCTTCCATCCTCAGCATGGAGGGTGGTGAGCCAGGCCCCGCAAGGTCAGGGTTCTGGGGCTCTCCCCCAGCAATCCCTGAGCAGGTCCATGTGGAATAAGGCTGCCCCGGTGAGGAGGCGGGCTGCGAAGAGGTGGCGGCAGGGCAGACGATGGGCAGCATGGATGGAGCAGCTGCAGCGTGTCAGGGCACTGTCCAGGAAGAAGTCCGAGGTGCCATCCTTAAGGGCAAAGCCAGCTCCAGTCCAATGGAAACCTCGGGTCCCGTGCTGCCTGGCAAAAGCCAGCTCCTCTGCTACCAGGTCTGCCAACTCTGGCCCGCAGGCTGCTCGGAACTTGGCCAGGGGCTCCCAGTCGACTTCCTCCTGTCCAGATGGGCAGCAAGGCCTCTTTGGTTCCCTGGGGCCGCCTCCTTCACCTCCTTCCTGCAGGCTCTGCCCTGAGGCCAGGTATACTCTCCTTGTCACTGCCCATTCTGGTTCACCCTCCCACACAGGCCCTATGGTGGGGCCACACACGACTTCAGTCCCCAGTCCTAGACACCTCCCTCCAGTGTCCCCACACTCCATCCCTTGCCCTCCTCTGCTCTTGGGGCCCCCAGACTGGGCTCCTCCCCCATCTCCAATCTCCAGATCTGCTCCCCGAGAGTCCCCTAGCTGGACCAAAACCACATCCTCCAGATCCCTTCTTTTGGCTCCCTCTCTCACTGCACCCTCTTCTCTAATCTCTGGTCCTCTCTGCCTCTCCTCTCTCCACTGAGGTCCCTGCTGGTCTCCCTTCTCAGGGACCAACTCCAGGGGCTTCTTCAAGTGCGCCCCCCTCCAGTTTCTGACCTCCATACCCCTCCCCTTCTCTGTTTCCAACAGCGGACCCTTCCAGTCCCTGGTCTTCAGGGTGGTGGCCCTATCACTGTGCACCTGAGCCCCTCTCCGGGCGCTACCCTTCGGACTCCCGGCCCTCTCCTGATCAGACAGGGCCCTGCTCAGTTCGGCGGCCTCCAGCACCCTAGTCCTCCCATCCTCCAGAGGTCCCCCGCTCCGGGTGTACCCTTCCAGCCCTCTTAGCCCCTGCTCCTCCAATTGGGGGCCCCTCCAGTCTCGGATCTCTGGCACTCTCGAGTGCCCCTTTTCCAACTGGGACCCTCTACAGACAATCCCCTCAAGCCCTCTCACCTTCTGCTTTTCCAACTGAACATCTCTCCAAATACTTCCTTCTTTGGGGGCCCCTCCCCATTCTCCGGCCACCCTGTCCTTGTTTTCCACTGGGGCTCCCCTCCCCTCCAGCCAAGGTCCTCCACCGTCTGGGCCATCCGGCACCACCTCTCCCACTGCATCAGCCCACTGCATGGCCACCAGGTCGCGAAGGCACTGCGCCACGCTGCGCGAGGGGCTCAGGCGGCGCAGCAGACGCCGGCGGTGGCTGCGCACCAGGGCGCACGCGTCCAGGTCGCGGGCCACCTCGAAGGCGCGGAATCGCACCCACATGTCGCGGCGCGGCGCCCAATTGCGCTCGAAGTAGTCGACGAAGGCGGCCGGGCCATGGGCGCGCAGCTCGGCCAGCGCCTCGGCGTAGGCAGTGGGGGACGACGCGCCCGCCAGGCGGCACAGGCGTGGCCACAGGCCTGGGTCCTCGAGGCCGGCGCCGCCCAACTCCTGCGCCTTGCTGAACAGAGTCTCCAGGCCCTGGGCCCGACATATCTGCACGCGCGCGCCAGGGAGTAGCTGGCGCACAGCGGGCAGCTGGGCTGCCACCTCGGGCCCCGCGGTGAGGCAGCGCACGCGGCCCTTGACATCCGGGGCGCTCTGCAGCAGCGAGGCCAGCGCGAAGCGCAGAAGGCTCGGAGTGCCGGGGCGTGCCACGCAGCAGGCGGCCTGGCGCGCACGGCCCGCCCCGTCCACACACAGCACAGCCAACAGGTCTAGGGCGCCCTGCAGCCCGGGCAGCCGGTCCACCAGAAGCATGCGCGGAAAGCGCCGCAGCAGTGCCCGGGTGCGCGACGTCAGGAAGAACACGGTCTCCACTACAGCCTGGTCCTCCACAAACACCAGCTTCACCTGCGGTCGGGGACAGGGACGCATGGAAAGTGATTAGGGGGTGCCGGGATCGCTCTGCCCAGCTCCCCATCTCATTTCCCCTCGTTTGCGCATGTGTGCAGTTATTGTCTTGACCGGCAGGAGGCAGTGTAGGGAGGACAGTTAAAACTAGGGCCACAGATAGAGTCAGGTTGCCTAGGTTTGGGATCCTGGCACCACCCCTAGCTATACTGTTGCGCGCTAGACGGCCTCTCTGTGCCTCGGTTTCCCTAATGGGTACTACTCATTCCTTTACGTACAGAGAGGCAGTCTAAGAGAAGGGTTCCCAAAGTGTGGGCCCTACTGCTGCCGAGACCTTAACAGAAATTCATATTCTCAGGTCCACCCCAACCCTCCTGAACAGAAATTCTGGAAGAAGGGCCCAGCAATCTGTTTGGATGTTTAAGTTCAACAGCCACTGTCTAGTACTACAGAAGTGCAGCACAGAGACCGTGGAGCCAATGGCCTAGGGTCCCGGCTCCACTTCTTGCTAACCTGTGCCTTAACCTCTCTGGTTTCCTCCTTAACCGCCTCGTTCCCCCTCTTGAGAACTGAATATTCATTCCCTCGTGCATGGAGAGTCAGGTCCAGCCTCTGGAACCAGGCTGCCAGGTCCCAGATCCAGGAGCCCCCTCTTCCTGGCCAGGTGGCTTCTGGCCACTTCCCTGACTTCCATCTCATTGTAAAATGATAAGGAGGAGGCTTTCTCTCATCAAAGCATTGGAGCATTTAGAATATTGCCGACACAACCACTATCACTGTCACTAAACAATATCCACTTGTCAAGTAGTAGGCTCTCTGAATATGTTCATTATTTCCATAATTATTATCTTTGCTCAAAGACCACGTGCTCCTCAAGGTCTCTGCCCACCCCATCTCAGCCAAATCTCAGCGCCTCCAGCCCTGCTGGCATGGCACTTCTGCCCCCTCCACATCCTATCTTCATTTGCTGACTTGCTAGTCTAGCCTGTTTGCCCTCCCTAAGATATTGTTTCATTCTACTTTTGTGTCCCCCTTTTGTGAGCGTGTGTGTGGCCATGTATCCTGAGTAGAGGTTCGGGATCAAGTCTAGTTCTGAATCTTGACTTTGCCTCTTACTGATTAGTTGTGGGACCTCAGGCAAGTGGATTCCCCTCACTGAGCCTCTGTTTCCTTGTCTGCAAAATGTCTCCATCTCTTTGACAATGTCTATTTGACAGGGGCATGGGGAGGCTAACGTGATCATTCGTGTCCAAAGCTTGGCACCATGCCTGGTGTGTGTCAAATCCCAGCTACGGTACTCTGTCACCTCATAAATGGCTGGCCTGATATAAAAATAGGGCTCACAGCCTAGAGAACACCCCTCTGAGACTCATGGAGAAACAGAAAGGCTGACACTGAGCTGTGACTGCAGCAGAGGGGGAGACGCTAGCCAGGTTCAAACAGGATGGCTCTGGGAAGCCGCAGACACTCAACCCTCTGTCGGCACGGGTCACTGTGGCCAGTGCCCAGGAATCTCCCAGGCTGGGGCCCCTGGCAGGAGGCATTGCTTCACGGCTAGCGGTCAGGCCGGGTCCTTGACAGATCTGGTAATTAGGCGGGATATATTCCCCACCTTCCTGGGTACCTGGGTGACTCAAATGAGCCCCAATGACTCATGGTGGGTGTGGAGTATGAGTAAAGAATGAACTTCATTCGTTCAGTCACTGAGCCCCACTGGCCGTTACTCAGGCCACCCTGGTGAACAGAGTCAAAACATTTACCAGGCACCTCCACTTATTCTCTTCTAGAGAGAAACACGTCGAGACTAGTGTTGGCTTTTCACTTCCTCTTTAAAATGTGTCTGAATGTGCAAAAAGCCACAGGGTCTGAAAGTCAAGTAATACAGTCAAGGCCATTTAGGGACCCTCTGATCCACAATGGATGACATCTACAATGGTGGCACCCAGAGGTTGTACCCTCCAGCCCAGGTGACCCCAGCTTTAACACACCTCTGTTCTGATCATTCTCCTCTACCTGCAATTCTGACACACACACCAGTCTCTCATCCCTAGATTCTCCTTAAGTTTCTTCATGTGGATACAAACAAGCACATTTGTTATTTTCTGTTTGATACTCAGAACAGCCTATTAGGGAAACTGCTTTGCACTTTTTTATTTTATGAAGGTGTCTGAGAGATCTGATGGGGTCAGTGCTGGTATGATCACGCTCATCGAAAAGTGGCCTAGGTCCAGGGCCAGGAGCCTTTTCAGGCTTCTGCTTTCGCAAATGCCATGATCAACCTTGTCTGTGGGAGGTTAGGTCAACAGTGTGTGTATGTGTATGTGTGCCCATCCCATTCAGGTCCAGATGTTCACCTTTCTCAGAAGGCAAAGCAAGCTGACACATAAGAGAAGGTGGCAACATTTCCATGAAGATGCATCTCTGTCCAGAAAGCTAGCCTGCTTGCTGGTTCCCCTGAAGCCTGCCACATATGAGGTAATGAAGACATGACTAGACACCTTCATTCCAGAAGTCACAGCCTCAGGGCATATTATAAAAGAACTTAACACCTCCCTGGTGAAAGCAACTACTCAGTCTTGCCCATAAATGCGGGTCTTGCCCATAAAGGCGGCAGTGGCTTTTGGGTACACCTTTCTTGTCTGATCCCCTTCTAAGACCAAGTAAGCCAGCCCAACTCAAGGCAGTCCCAGGCATTTGGCTTTTCAAAGTAATTACTCCTTCAGCAGACTGCTGGGAAGCAGAGAGAATACCTGATTGTTCCTTAACTTTGTCTTGGAATGAGAATGACGAGTTCTCCATTATTTAAGATAATTATAATGTAGAACCCTTTTAGTATACCTCCTAAGTGAAACAAGTCAGGTGACACACCCATGTAAAGGTGAGGGGCTGAACACACTTATTATGCTCTTCCCTTAGCCTTTCTGTAGAAAAGGGGTGCTGTTTTTGTTTTTAAAGACAGGGGCAACAGGAAAGGAGACAAAAGGAAGCAATCTGGAAACTGGAAAGTTAGATGGACAAACTAGTCACCCCACTCCTTTTCTCCCAAAAAAATAAAGAAATCCCCCAAACTTCCCAAGCCAAAAATTAGGTCTCCAAAGTGGCAGCCTGGGTGGTGTAAGGAGAGTAAAACAGGAGTGTAGGACTGCTGAGCAGCAGCTGCATCTCCAGCTCCTTTCCCTTCACCCCTGAGTGACTGGAGACCATTCCAAAGCAAGAGTCATTGACCCTGGGGAAACGGTGCCCATGTGACAGGGATGGGGGTATGCATCTTGCCAGCTCTTTTCCCACGTGGCTCCCAGAAGAGGCCTGGACTTTATACCCAGGCAGGAGGCAGGAGTTTTTTCAGGAGGATTTGCCCAGCCCCAGAGGAAGACCAAAAGATGCTGACATTTGGCGGGCCCATACATGAAAGCAAAATGCAAAAACCTGTGTATAATATGCTACCTTTGAGGGGTGGATAGTGAGCAAGGGGAAAGAAGGTTAAAAATAAAGATAGGCAAATGAGCTGTGCTGTTCAACACAGAAACCACCAGCTGGGGGCTATTTAAATTTCAATTCATTACATTAAACTCCACATGTGGCTTCTGGGTCGCTCTGATGGCATTTCAAGTGCCCACTAGGCCAAGGGCTCCCATGCTGCACAGTGCAGACACAGATGGCTCCTTGCAGGGCTGTGGACAGAAAGCTACAGAAGATGTACAAGCAACCAGTAACTCGGGTGGCTGCTAAGGAGGGGACCGGAAGGACAAAAAGTGTCAAGGGGACTTTTCGCCAGGTATTCTTTTGAATTTAGGATCACATGCATGTGTCACTGATTCAAAAAGTCAATATTTAATTTTTTTTTAAAAGGAATAACACTCTCCCTGGTCTGCCTCTGGGCTTTCTAGAACTTCTTCCTCATTTTTTAAAAAAGCATTGAGGCAGGCCAAAGTGCAGACCCAAAGTGCCATCTTGGTTTGGCCTGGATTCCAAGATGGCCTCCAAACTAGAAGCTTCAAGGATAATCCCTTTACTGGAAGGCTGTCATTTATGAAGGATTCACTTCTCCTGGGGGCAGCCCTACCTAGTGTGTTCCCAGGGAGGAATAGGTGAGGCTTATATATTCAGTGGTGGACAAGTAATAACCGTAAATAGCTCTATGAAGACCAGTGGTGTGGGGGGCGTATACCCACTGAATTGGGTTAGGCCCTCAACCCCCTGAGGCTAAGTGACCGCAAGGGGTCTGACTTTCATTTCCAAACTAGGGGATAATCAAGCAGTGAAGAGCATGGCCTGTGTGCGGCTGAAGTTCACCTCTGTTACTAAGTAGCTATGTGGCCACAGGCCAGTTACTTGACCTCTCTGTGCTTCAGTTGCTTTGTAAAATGGAGACAAGACAGGTGGGGGACTCCTTCCTTATACTGCTCAGCTGAGATTTAAATGAATCACAATATGTAAAGTACTTAGAGTAGTGCCTGGCACATAGGAAAGCTAATATTATTATTAATATTCTCTGTGGGAAAGGGCTGGCTTGGCCTGGTGGCCAATCGGGGTTATTGCTGGGCATGAATGGAGATGGGAGAATGCTCCGACCTGATTCTGAAAAGTGGGCTCACCTCTGAGGGGAGGCCCCATCCATGCATGAGAGAAAAGCACTGCCCAGAGGGAGAAATCAGTTGTCCTTCCTTCCCTCCACGCTCATTCTTTACTTTTCTATCCCTGAAGTTGGATGAAAGAAGAGAATGACTTTTCCTGGAGGAGCAACATTCTTGCTGTTCATTCAACATCTGGAACTTATTGTAGCCTCTGAGCTTTTGCACTGGCTGTTCCTTCTGCCTAGAACACACTTCTTCCTTTCTAAAGACAGAAAGATGGTCCCCTCTCTCCATTCTCTCTCCTCCATTTCACCAGCATTTCTCCTCTCGGCCCCCCTGAGCACTCAAAAGAAAACAGCACCCGTTCATCTCATCCTATTCTCCTTTATGATTCTCTTCCTCCATCAAATGACCACATGCAACACCTTCCCTGGTGACTCTTGATCTGGGGGCTGGGTACTGGGGTGTTCCCACTTTATGAACAAGCACCAAACTATACACCTATCATTCGTACATTTCCTAGATATGCATTTTGTTTTTTAAAATGTGGATTTTAAAATAGCACCTTCCCTCACTTCCAATTCCTGATTGCCTAGCACAGAACCCTACTGCCCTCCCATCACATCCTCCTCCCACTGGACATGCGAGGCAATTCTGACAGTGACCTGGCCAAGGTAGCCAGTAGACCTAAGTAGCTGCATACATTGCCATGCATCAAGATGATAGAAAAGTTTCAAATTCAGTTCCTCTGCCCATACTGGCCATATTTTCAGAGGTCAACAGCCACATGTAGCTGGAGGCTCCTATCCTGGGGCCTCCAGGATTCCCAGGGGGAATCAGAGAACAGGATAGCTCGGTGCCCCGGAGACCTCGTAAGTCCTCATCAACCACACGCAAGCACTCAGGAAAGAACCATAGCCATGAATGGATGCCAGGGCAGATGAATAGTGACCCCACCCCTCAGTCGACCTCTCCCCAGATCTCACCTTGGCCTCAGGATCAGTGTGGAAAAGCCCCTCCAGCACGTGCAGCGCGTCCAGGACGCCGTGGTCACGGCCCTTGCAGTAGGAGAGAAGGCGGCGGACGTCGGCTGGGGCCACAAACTGCTTGGAGATCCTGTTGGTCGTGCGCACGGGCAGGCAGGCATTGGCCAGTAGGTGGCCTGGGCGGAAGTAGTAGGCGAACTCGAGCGGGCAGGCCGGGTGTGAGTGGGTCAGCTGGCACTCTGTCACCACAAGGCGGTCTCGCAACGGGCTCAGCTTGACGATGATGAAGGCTGGGCAGCCTGTCTGGGGGGGCCTGTGGGAGGAATGACCATCGCCACTGTCATATCACCCTGCCATCCTCTTCCTTCTCACTCAGGAATTTTTGTCTATCTTTTTTACTGCTGTATTCCCAGCACCTAGAACAGGCCCCTGACCCCTGGGAGGGGATAAGAGAGTGAAGGAATAACTGAGTGAAGGAATCCCACTGAATGCATCCCAGGAAGACCTCATCCTATGAAAACAACAATCACCCAGCCCTGCCCAGCTTGCCTTCTAAACTGTACAAACAACCCATGTGTTTTCCAGGTCACAGCCAGTGCCTATTATAAATTCTTATTCCTGAAACATCCATCACTACACATAGCCAGGGTCACCTCATCCAGGAAGCCCTCCTTGACTCTTCCCTTGGGAAGGCAGATTCCATCACATACTGGGGGGATGGTTTGCTTGATCTGTGATGCAGGATCCCCACTGAATGGGGAGTTCCTCTGCTCCAAAACCCTGCCATCTAAATTACCTGCACCCTGCACATAATTGGTGCTCAGAATAAATCTCTAGGATGAATGGGTAAACAAGCATGGTGCTTAGGACCAAAAAATCTTTAGGGTACTATTGTATTCCACTCTCCTATGAATAAAGCATGATGAAATAAAGATGAGAGGAACAGAGAGGAACAGAGATAAATAAGGGAAGGCAGTGATTGAAGGGATGGGCTATAGGTCCAAATTTTCGTTTTTCCCTCTGATCAGCTGTGTGATCTTGGGAAAGTCCTGTAACCTCTCTGTGCCTCTATCTTTTCATCTGGAAATTGCACCTAATACAACACCAGCCTTACAGGTTCACTTCAAGGATTAAACCAGAGGCTTGAATAATGTCAAATGATGAGAAAAGGGGCTGGTAGGTAGGAGACAGCAAATAAAAAGTAGCTGCTGTGTCCAGTTCAGTTTTTTCTTCTACAAGGACCACAGCTATCATTAGCTTTGCACGCCACAGGCCCACTTTTTCTTGGGTCTTTCGGGTTCTCAGATCTTTGTGTTTTCAAAGGCTGGTGTTTTGATGGAAGAAGTGCTGAGCTCAAGGGAGGGTTGGGGAGATGAGGAGCTGCACAGAGGAGAAATGGGGATGGTGATTTAGAGGAGGACAGGAAGAAAGCCTGGATGTGTGTTCTCTAGACCCTCAGCCCTGGCCCCCCACGTATCTCTCTCCTCCAATCCATCCCCAAGAGGCCCCAGATGGATCTTTCTGCTCACAGCCCTCCTGGGGTTCTCCAGCATCCTGGGATAAAGGCCCAGCCCCTGGACTCAGCGCTGGCCCTCTGGACTTGACGAGCCACACCCCTGCCTTTGCCCCCATACTAACTTTGGACACACGCTAACACCTGGCCCAGACCTCGGCCCTTGGGCTGTCCCTTGGCTGTGGCACAACAGAGGCCCTGTCTGAGCAGAAGAGGCTTGGCGGGGGTGGGGGGGTGGATTCAGGGCCTTACAAGTGATGGGCCCCAAGTCATCTCCTCCAACCAGCTCATCAACCACTCCACACCAGTTTTCCCCAGCCAGGAAGCATCTCACTGTCCACTCTCCCCAGCCCCTCCTGCACCTATGCTCCCTCTGATGTCTGTAGATCACTTGGCACAGTGCCTGCACATAGTAAGCGCCACATGTTTGTTCAGTCTGAGCATATATTAACAACTCAACCCTTCAAGATTCTGAACTACTGGTCTCTTGCAGGAAGACTTCTAGAACCACCCTGTAAGCTCTTAAGCAGAGTGGAACATTCCTCTTTTATTCTTCTCCACCTCTCTCTCACTAACATGAGGCCACTATTTCCAACTTATTTTTTTGCCTATGTCTCCTCTGTTAGGCTCTGAGCTGCTCAGAGGCAGAGACCCTGCCCAGCGAGGAATGTGCACAGACTAAGGGCTTCACTACCCATCTGTAACTCTGAATTGGATTCTATTAACAGAGATTCCAGATGGAGCTTCAGCTCCATGCAAGCTCTCATGTTTTAGAGTTCATGGTGACTGTGTGTGTGATGCTGTTCTGTTCCCAGACCTCTATGCCCCTGTTTCTAGAACAAGCAAAGATAATCTACCATCCCACGATAAATGCTTAAGTCACCAGGGGTGAGTCTCACCTGAGAGAGTGCTCACTCTGGGCGGGACACTTCCCAGCGATTTGTAGGGATTGGCTCATTTAATCCTCATAAAACCACGACTTCTCCCATTTCCAAGTGAGGAAACTGAGGCCTAGAGAGGTGAAGGCACTTGCTCAATGTCAGCAGCTAATGGGTGGTAGAGCTGAGGTCTGCACCCAGGCTGCTGGCTCCTGAGTCTGTGTTCCTGACCTCTGTAACCACTGTGGATTCCTCAGCCAGCCTGTGTTCCAGGCTCCACGGAAGTGCCTTCTTGGGCAAGGTCTCATGGCAACCACATCACAGCCCCAGGCGGCAGGAGCTGCCCCATTCCACAGATGAGAAAATTGAGGCTTGGAGGAGAGTCCATTGCCCAAAGACAGGATGTGGTAGAGTTGGTCTCAGGCAGCCTAAAGCCTAAAGGGGCTGTTCTCAACAGCCCCACTCCTGTCTACAGGGTCCCAGATGAAGGTTTCAAATTCACCCACTTAGCGAGGTCAGGTGGACAAAATAAGGAAATGGCAGTGCTAAGTGAGTGGTGCCAGGGAGCTGGGGGTCTGATACCTGAGTGCCAACGTCCTATCTAACTGGGATGGCTGTCTCCTCCTCTGTAAGTTTCCCTCTTTGACTCACCTCTGTGCAAGGTGGATTGAGCTGTTTTAGTGGGCATCCCTCCCTCCAGTTTCTGATTGGAGGGGGGTGATCCCTCCCCCTAACATTCTACCCTACCCCCCAGCACCCAGCAAGGCTTCGGCTTGGGCTCAACGCACCCCACGGCAGGCCGGCTGGGCGCGCGCACATCCTTGCATACAAGGCGAACGTAGCTGTACTTGAGCACATCGATGAGCGTGTAGAGCGGGGGTGCACTGGCCCAGCGGCAGCGTGCCAGGTGCATGGAGCTCTTGACGAAGAAGAGCGCCAGCCGCTGCTGACACCATGCGTCGAAGAAGCGGCTGAACTCAGCCCATGAGAAAAAGGCCCGTTCCCGAAGTTCCTGTTCCTCCTGCCCCACCACTGTGCAGGGTGGGGGCTCTGGCTGCTCCATCCTGGGGCACCTGAGTGAAAGAGGGGAACACGTGGTTATCAGATCCCCTCACCCTAGTTCCTCCCTTCTCTACCTGACTCTTGGGTGAAGGGGCCTATATCCAAGTGGAGTACAGGACCTGATGCAGCTGTCAACCTCTCAGTATGAATCTCCACACCTTTTTTTGGCTTCCTCCTACTCTGTGCATTATTCCTGGGACAGTTGGAGCCTGTCATCCCGGTCCCTAACTCCAACTCTGGTCTCCTCTGTGATGTGACTACCTAGGAAGTACAGTTTGGGGTCCCCTCTCCCAAAATAACCCTTTAGTTCAGTTGTGGACACCTCCTTGAATGTGTTCCCAACTTTCAGCTATCGTCCCTCTGCCAGGAGATGTCTCCTACACTGGGCAGTAACCTCTAGTGCCCGGCTTCATAAGGACGCTTGGTTGCAACCCACGGCCCCCATGCCTCTCCCAACTCAGATCCCCAGAGGTGCTCCATAGACACCCCCTCCTTCGACCCAGTCATATTCTTCATGCACCTGTAGGGCTTCCTTTCCAGATATGCAGCTGTTTCCCCTCTTCCAGATGTGACCCCAACAGGTCGCCACATTCAGCTGTCCCCCCCACATTCAGTATGAGCCCTCTTCCTACAGGTGTGTGCCCCATTCACTTGAGACCAATTCTCACAAGTGTCACCAATCTGTGGCCCCTTCCTCCGGGCAGCCATAATCCGCCTCAGATGTGCGACAGGACCTAGACCCGCCCCCAATCCTCCCATGGTCTTCATCACCCCAGATGCTCCCCCATGTCCAGCTGTGTCTCCCCCTGTCGCGCAGCCCCTCCCAACTCTCTCCTACTTCCCCAACCCCTCCCAGCTCCGCTGGCCGCGGCCACTCCTACTCCCGCTGTCCCAGCCAGCTGTGCTTCTCCCCTCCCCCAGATGTGCACCCTTCCCGCCCCTCCCCACTCACCTACCCGCCCCGGAGCGGCGTCCACCTCCCACAATGCCCTGCGCACCGAGGCCCGGCCCGGCCCTTGCTCCCGGGATGCCCCGCGCCGCCTCCCGCCTCTCTTCCCGCCGTGCCTCGCGCAGCGGCTTCCGGGTCTCCTCCTTTCCCCGCCAGTCACTCCTCCGACCCGCAGCCACACCCGCTCATCCACAGCGAGAGAAGGCGCAAGGCCGTTTCCCAGCGTGCTCTGCGGGTGTTCCCCACCCCCTTCTCCCGCTTTCCTGACGACCTCCGGCTCGGGAGACTCCAACTCCCGGCGTCCCCCGCGCCGCAGCCCCGGCGCAGGAGTCGGCGGGCCCCGCCCCCAGCTCGGCGCCGCCCCCGCCCCCGAAGTCTGCGCGCGAATTCTGTGGCGCGAATTTGGGGCCGTGTCGGGCGCCCAGAGGCTTCGGGTGTGAAGCCCAGGACTGCGGCGCGCGCGGCCTGCGCGAGGCAAGTAGGGCCGGCAGGCGGGGAGGGTGTGCGTGTCGTGCCCCCGGGGCCCGTGACCTCGCCGGGCCCTCGCCTGCAGAGGAGCGGGCGGGGGCCGCGGCGCCGGCCTCGGGCCCCTGGAGGTGCACGGGCGGTGCCGCAGGAGTGTGCGGCTTGCCTGGAGAGGGGACTCGGGGCTGGTTGGACCCGGGAGAGTTTGATTAGAGGCCTGGAGGGGCGGGGACGCGAGGAGAGGGGCTTGGTCGGGGCGGGACGTGAATAATTATGGTGGGCGGGGCTATGGGGAAAAGTTGGCGAGACTCGGTCGGCCTTAAGGGCTGGGCCCAACTGGCCTGGTAGAGGTCCGTGGCTAGGCCTATAGGTGTAGGTGAAGGTTGTATGAAAAGCCGGGAGTCTTCTGGACTGGGAGAAGTCAGCAGAAGAGGGGGCGCGCTAGAAATCCTCGAAGCCGAGACCTGGGCAGGGGTAGGGTCAAGGAGAGGGTAGATGAAAGGTCTGAGCTTCTACTTACTCAGGGGTGGAGAGAGGGTCTGAGGAACTTGGGAAGGGAAGAGAAACTTGATGCCCCTAGGCCAGGGGGAAAAACTTCAAGAGAATGGGAGAAGAACTTGGCGGGAGGGAGGGGCAAGTGGAAATGGGAGCTAGCATCTGAAAGTTAAAGGGAGACTTGACACTTTGGTCTCCATCCCCTTTGGAATCACTGACTCCAGTGGCAGCCTAAGAAAGCAGAGGGAAAGGCTGAGAAGTTGAGTAAGACGGTCTAGATTTCATGGTATCTTAGGATCCCCCTGGAGCTAGGCCTGCAGATATCCCCCTCTGTTCCCAGAACTTCTGATTTAGTAGGTGGGAGTGGTATAGGGAGATCTGAAACTGAATTGTCTTAAGCTGAATCCCAGGTGGTCTCAGAACTTGCATTCTCATCCTCCTAGCTATGGTTGATTGGCTGTGTGGTCCTGATAAGGCCTCTGCGGTCTCAGCTTCCTCGGTTGCCTTTTGAGGGTGCTCAGCTGTTTTAAACCTCAGATGAGGACAGAGAGTAGCAGATTTAGGGGAAAGGTGTAAAGTGTTCCCATAGGTGAGGTGGGGCTGCGGGAGCTTTCATTAAGTCCGCCAGGTTTGGAAAGAACCTGCTTATGAACCCTCAATTCTTTTTTTAAAGATTTATTTATTTTTATGCAAGAGCTGGGATACAGGCCAGAGGCACGGGAAGGTAAGAGGATTCACCAGAGACAGAGTGGGAAGCAGAATAGGCAGACAACAGAAATACACTGCTGAGGGGAGCAGCGGGCGCCACAGGAGAGGTCTGCCACACCATGTGGAACTCTCCCTGGCTGGCCAGCCGGCCAGCCGGGATCAAACCCGCACCGCTGGGGCCTCCCCGGTGGCACAGCGGTTGAGCGCTGGGTTGCGAAGCTGCCTGCAGCCTCTGCAGCTCTGGTTCGATTCCCGGCTGCTCCCCGCCCACCGGAGGAGGGTCCCACATGGCGCGCAGACCTCTCAGGCCGCCCGCTGCTCCCCTCAGCAGTGTGCTTCGGTCCTTCTGCCTGCTTTGCTCCCCGCTCTGGCTCTGGTGAATTCTCTCACCCTCCCGTGCTTCTGACTGTACCCAGTGCTTGTATAAATAAATAAATAAATAAATCTTTAAAAAAAAAACCCGCACCGCAGAGGCTGGAGACAGCCCCACAGCACAGCGCCCAACCCGCTGCGCCACCGTGGAGGCCCGAACCCTCAATTCTTTAGGAATGTTTCCATTATCCTGGTTTTTGTGGAACCGAGCATAAGTATTCTTAGCCATTGCTTTGTCATTTTGTGTGTAACTGCCATTTTAGAATTTCAGGTCTTGCAGGTCTTGCTGTCCCGGGAAAAGACTGCATTCCAGAGATAGTTTGGACCCTCACTCCACCCTTACTCTCTGGTCACCAATGAGGATGAACTTGCTGTAATTGGAGCTGCAGGTTGGAGCTGCATCTTGGCCTGGCCAGTCAGCTTAGAATGATAGCCTGGCAAAGTTGGAGAACGCATCCTTGTAGCCAATGAGTAACTGCCAGCATAATTTAACCTTATTAAAAGACCCCTGCTTCCTTTGTTCGGGGCTCTCGGTATCTGCCACTGCGTTGGTAGGTGCCTTGAACCCGGACTCGAGTCTGAAATAAACTCCCTTTTGTGTTTGCATCAGCTGTCTTTGGGTTCTTGGAGGCTATGCTCGCCGAGTCGGCTGACCTTGGGCACAACAGTTTTCAGTAAACAAAGACTTGTGTATATATTGCTTTTAGGTCCTGCAGTCATTATCACTGAACAAAATAGATAAATTCCATCTAGATGAAACTTACACTTTAGCCCTCACCGCTAAATGCAGTGGCCACTAGTCATGTGTAGCTCATAACATTTAAATAAATTAGAAATACACAAAAAAATTAGCTCTTTGGTTGCACTAGCTGCATTTCAGATGCTCCTGAAGAGGGTTCCTAGACCCAGTGCAATGTGGGTGTGTGGGTGCCCTAGAATTCAAATTGACTCAGACACTGTCTACCAGAAGAGAGCTTCTGATCCCATGATTAAAAGGCTCCATCTCCCAAGACCACCCTCCGCTTCAGAGGCCAGCGGCAAGCCCAGGCTCTCACCTGTGTTTCCAGTGACAGGGTACAGATCCTCCTTAGACTTCAGGTGCCAGTTTGCAGCATTTAGACCAACTAGCTCTAAAGAAGAGGGTTCCCAAAACCCCCTTCTCAGGTTTGACTAAGTCGCTAGAGCGACTGAAGAGAACTCAGGAACAGCCTGCTGAAAGAGGGGCGTAGGGCGGGGCGAGGTATGGAGAAAGACGAGCAGCACCTTGCCCTCTGTAGGTGGATCACTCAGCCAGCACTTCCTCCGTTTACCCGCCCGGAAGCTCTCTGCAGCTCTCTTCTAGGGTTTTTATCAAGGCTTCATCAGTGTCTTGATGGAAGAACTCCTTAGCTATTGGTAATTGATCCAACCTGGAGGTCAGGGTGGGTGGGACTAGAAGGGCAAACTCCTAATCATGTGGTAGGCCACCAGCCCCCATCCCCTTTCAGGTACTTCCCATAATTACCTTACCTTCATTAACATAACAAGAGATGTCTTTACTTAACCACAATTAGGAAATTCCAAGAGAATGGGGGGGGGTCTATGAATTAGAATTGGATGATGATTAGATAAATATACGAGAAATGTGGTTTTTTGTTTGTTGTTTTAATCTGATAGGTTTCTTCCCTTTGGTCTCTGTACAGCCAATCTTCTCACCAAGAATGTGCATTTCTGTTTCAGGTACAGCTAACAGGAGAAGAAAAGACGAGGGGAAGGGAGGGGTCTGACGCCATCATCGCCATCATGCAGCGAAGTATCATGTGAGGACTCCGCCCTCCCATTCACAGCTTCTCTTTCATTTTCTCTGTGCTTGGCGTTTCCAGGAGTTGAGCAGCACATTGAATGTGGGGTGTGGGACATGGAGGAGGGGGAGTATATGAACCAAAGTTTCTCAGCTGCAAGGGGCAAACTCGTAACCCATCAGCAATGGGTTCATCCCCTCAGGGAATATATGGAGTGTCTTGAGAAGTTGGTGATTGTTCCAAGTGGAGGAGAAAGGGGTTTCCCATGAAGCTGTAGTGGATAAAGACCCTGCAAGCATGCTGCCTCAGCCAGAGTAACTCTCCCTCCTACCCCCGCCCCCAGAGAAATAGTGATTGCCTAGATGTTAGTGTGCCAGCCGATGCTAGCTGGCTCCAGGAAGAGAGGAACAGAATGACTTGTGTGGTAGTGAAAACTTTCTGGACTTGGAGGTTGGATCCATTTGCCAAAACTTCGTCCTCGGGAGCCTCTCTCGCCATCATTGAGCTCTACCGTCTTTGCTGCTGTGGCACTTGGGCAGGCTCTTCCTAGAGTTAGCAGTCCCCCAGAGCCTCCCACTTCCCACTGCCCCATCAATAGCAAGAGTCAGATTCCACTGGCCCAGTTCAGGCCCCTGGGATTGTCACCTTAGCCATGGGAATGCAGGACTCTGATGTGCCAAGCCTGGGGCCTCTGCCCACCCTGGGAGTAGCGAAAGCAGGCCTTTAGGGTTGAGATAATTTGGGGAAAGGGGCACCCCAAGAGGACAATGAAGGGACTGCCAGGAAGAGGGAATGCATTCTTGACAAACGCAGACCTGGGCAGACCTGGCTGACAGCCAGAGAGCCCGGGAGATGGGAGGTGGCGCCTGCGGAGACCCCAGGCTGCGTGTTTCTTGAGTGGTGAGAAAACTGTCCAGGTTGAGGGCTTTCCACTCCCCTTGCTTTGCTGTATTTATTTGTTTTTTAAAATTAAGCAAACTTTTTGGGGGTGAAGAGCAAAGGAGGGAGGATTATGGATGCTTTGGTGGTGAGCATGGTGTGTGGTGACCTACACCTGAAGAGGGTGAGCTTTTTTACCCTTAAATCATACACGTGTTTTAAACCAATGTCACTGCTATTTAAAAAAAAGATGGTTAAAATAAAATAAAACATTTATTTGGGAAGAATTTTAAGTGTACAGAAAAGTTGCACGCTTAAGAATGTCAAGCATACAGAAAGGCTAGTACAGGGATTCCTGCAGATCCCCCACCCATCTTCCATCTATGACAACTAGCATGGGTCCATTCCCATGAGCTGGATGCCACACTTCATTTGGATTTCTGTGAGCAACCTCATCTATTCCGGGATCTGATTTGTAGCACCATGCTGCATTTTGTTCTCATGCTGCCTCCTGGTCTCTGGATAGCCTTATCTCAGACTCACTTTGTCCCCCTATCTGGCCTGTCTGGTGCCATAATTGGGCTGGGGTGGTGGGCTATGGTGTGAGGTTCCCTCTCCCTTGGCCAGGGAAGTGCTGGCCAGCTTGCTCTCCCCACTGTCAAGTTGCTATTTTTCCTTCTCGGTTTCGTCTACTCTGAACACAAGCCGGTCTAGCCAGTCTCCTGTGGAGGGCTCTTGCTTTATTTAACCTTTTCAGAACATTTCATGCCTCCTGACATTTTATATTTAGTTACTTGCTCAGTATTTGCCTCCTCCCCTAGTGTATCAGTTGCTTGAAGTCTGGGACTTGGGGTCACCACTAAACCTTCAGGGCCCAGCACAGGCTCCGGTGTATTATAAGTGTTACTTAATACTTGTTGAATGAAAATTGGGATGTGTCTATCTCAGGGGAGTTGAGGCAGACAAACAGCATTGCCTCTGTGTAAGCCCCCTTTTCCTGATCAGTCAAAGGGAGTAGCTTGAAATCCTGTTCCGAGCTGGGATAGGAACAGGCATAGGGAATGGTTGAATGCAGTACAGGTAGGGAATTATTGATGCTGCTATTGTTCCCTTGTCTTCCACCATCTTCTGTTCCTCCAGGTCATTTTTCCAACCCAAGAAAGAGGGCAAAGCGATGAAGCCAGAGAAGGAGACATCCAACAGTACCAGAGAGCCAGAGCCCCCTCCAAAGTATGTAATAGGCACGGGGCCAGGATGTGGGGGGTCTAGTCTGTGAACAACCAGAAGTCTCATGGCTGCCAGTGGTACAAGCCAGCTCAGAATGCCTGGATGCCAAAAGGAAGTTTTTTGGTTTTTTTTTTTAAGATTTATTTATTTATGCATACAAGAGCTGGGGTACAGGCCAGAGATGCAGGGGGTGAGAGGATTCACCAGAGACAGAGTGGGGAACAGAATAGGCAGACTGACTGAAATACACTGTTGAGGGGAGCAGCAGGAGAGACCGGGGAGGTCTGCTGCACCATATGGATTGCTCCCTGGCTGGCCAGGGATCGAACTCGTGCTGCAGAGGCTGCGGATTGCTTCATAGTGCATTGCTTAACCCCTTGCGCCACCAGGAAGGCCCCAGAAGGAAGTTTTTGACTCCAGTAACTGGGACATCTAAAGGTAGGTTCAGCTTCAGGCGCAGCTAGATCTAGGGTCTCAGCATTGACCCAGGACTCTGTTTCTCAGGTCTTGGCTTCATCCTAGAGCAGACTTTGACCCTGAGGCAAAGAAGCTGGTCACTGGCTTCATCTTGATCTGAGTAGACCAAAGCATTGTTCTCTGCTCCAAAGTCCACATCAGGTATTTTCCAGATGATCCTGCTTGGGTCATGTGAACACTCTGGGCCAGTTAGCTTGCCACATTTCCTTCACATCTCTAATTGGGATTCTGGGCAAGGAATGTCCCCTTCCTTGCGTGTCCCAGTATCCTTGCGTGTCACAGGGGTATCGTACTCTCTTTCAGACTTTTGTCTGGGGGTTCGGTAAATCCACATATAGCAGCATGTAGACTGGTGCCTGATTTGTAATAGGTGCTCAGTTAGGTAAGAATCAAGAATTTGCCCAACTCCTGATCTATTTTAATGTAAAAAAAGTTTACAGGCTGTATTATGTATAGTGTGGCTCAACTTAGGTCATGTGACTTAGGTATTTTTCTGTTCATGAGCACAGGGCGCTCGGATCCTTTGTTCCTTCTGCCTTGTATCACACTGTATGGCTAGTCTGTGGAAACTAGTTCGCACTCCCCTTCTAATGGGTCTTTAGCTTATTTTCAACTCATGGCTGACAACAACCTATGTCACCATAAATCATTTCTATGTGTATCTTCTTGGGCATGTGGTTTCTGGCAGAGGTATCGATATTTAGAATTACATGTGGTAATTGTTAAAATACCAGCTCAGAGAAGTAGGTGAAGTAAAAAGGTGAAGTCCTTATAATACTCTCTTCAGCAGAATTACTTTACCCACTTAAGATGTAGCTTTCCAGACCTCTTTTCTGTGCATCTAAACATATGTTCTTATGGTACAGTTATGAACACATAAAAGGTGCTCACTAAATGTTTGTTGAATGGCTAAGTGTTCCCCATAATTATAGATGAGGTAGCAGGTCCTTTGGTCCCTATTACTTCTCAAATCACTGATACATGTCCAACATAATAGCTACTTGGTAGCACATTCCTTAAATTTGTTTTTAGCAAACTAAAGCAGAACATGCAAGTTGCAGAGATCGATGGATGCACTTTTCTCTATATTTTTACATTCATGGAATCATACTATATAGATTCATTTACCCAGCAAATACCTATGATCATCTGCATGCTAAACCCTGTTTTAAGCTCTGTGGGGTTAGCCATGAATAAAATCGATAGCGATACTTTAGTTTCACCCCACAAAAAATGTCCTAGAGCCTCTCCCAGGACACTTCATCTGAACCTGCTTCATTCTTGTGAATGACATTCCGTGGAATGAGTGTCTCTTTGTGAACACATTGGTTTCTTCGTCCAGACTGGGAACTCCGCACATGCGGGTTCCTGTACAAATCAGCATGTCCTCAGTGCCCTAAGTGACTACCATTGGCATGCACATGCTTGCTGTATTTTTGTGGGCTGTGTTCCTCCCCACCACAATGTGGGCTCCTCAGAGCCAGTGCTAGGTAGCAGTTGGGTTGTTGAACCAGCAACCGAAGCCATAGTTACTTGAGGAGATGAAAAGCTGCCATTTCTCACTTGTCAGACTCTGAGGTATTTGGCTGAGGGCAGGTAGGCGGCTCTGTTCTACTATGTCGTCCCAGGCTCTTTCCTGCCCTCTTTCTTCCTCCATCCCCTTCTCTCTGCTCTGCCAGGCCCACTTCTGCATTGTTTAAAGAGGTCTGCGGGTCCAAGTTTCAAGAGTAAGATGGCAGTTAGGACAAGTAGAAACAAGTTGTATGTGTCAGTCATGCCATTTACTCCCCACTGACCAGAACAGCCATGTCTGGCTGCAGGGGAGGCTGGAAAGTGTAGTCCCTAGCTGGGTGGCCATGTATGGAGCTGAAACTGAGGAACTTAAGTGACTGAAGTAAAGAGGGTCTCCAGGTGGATGTTGGAGGCCAGTCTCTACCCGAAGAAGATTCTACCTCTGTGCTTTAGCATCACCTATCACAGGGTGAGCACCTACGAGGCCTCCAGAGTAGTTTGATGAATGGCTGGAGGATTAAGAGTTTATGCCAGGAAAAAAAAAAATAAGAATTTATGCCAGGGAGGCTCCCAGAAAAAGTTCATTGAATGTTTTAAAGGAAACGAAGGGAATGAAACATTGCGAAGGAGCTGGAGTGTAGGCAGCATCCCTACTCTGCCTGCTAGAAAAGTCTTATTTTCCCACCTTTTAGAGTGGCACTGAAGGAGCGGAATGGAGTGGTACCTGAGAATGACTCACCAGTCAAGAGGCCAAGGAGGAAGTTAGCTCGGGTCCTGGGCAGCGAAGGAGAAGACGAGGAGGAAGCCCGCACGCCCCCCAAAGTCCTGGTAGGTCCCTATCAGCCTGCCTGTTTTTACCAGAAGAAACCATAATTCCCTTTAGCCTTTGGAACTGAGAGCCGCAGCTGCTCCAGAGAATTCTGGAGACCTGCCCCAGGAGGTGGAGGAGTTTGTTGGTATGCCCTAGGGCAGACCTGCAGCCTGGTCTCCGATTACCCCACCTGTAAGGTGCAGTGCAATTCCTGATAACAGGGCAGCTGTGAAGATGAGGGGATCAATCCTCACACTGCTCTGAGCACAATGCCCGGTACACACAATAAGGCCTCAGAACCACATCCCGACTCTCCTGCTGTCAGAGGTCTTTTTTCAGTTCTCCAGATACATTGGCTTACTCCTTTCCCTTCCCCTGTTTAAAAGTCAAGTAATGCCCATTCAGCGCTCGGCAGAAAGAAAACTTCAGTGTAGTGCTTTTCATTCTGGGGTGGGGGGGTAAAGGGAGAAGGGAGAGCTTTCTCACTGCTCCAGCCCCCAATGTTGGCAGCTCAGGCCAAAGCCTGTTCTTACAGGGACCCACAAAGTCTCCTGGGCTGCCTCCCCACCTCATCTGCGACTCTTCCTTGGCTCACTCTGTCCTGGTCTCACATGCACCCACTGGGCCTTGTGCTCTTCCCTGCGCTTTGCTCTTCCTCCTGAGTACACATGTGACTCTGTGCCCCCCTCTCTGCGGACTTTGCTCATATGTCACCTCAACAAAGCTTTCCCTCACTACTAGCCTTAGCTGCCATCACATTCACAAATGCACAGGCTTGAATCAACATAATTTTATTTCGGTTGGCTCTGAACAGGGGTCTGACTCTGGCCTGTGGAGGCCAATGTTGAGGTGTGAGCAGACCTGTGTGACTTCTGGACGCTGGGGGGGTGAATCCCTTTTCTGCCTTTTCCAGCCCTTGGAGACCTCTTTCCTCCATTTTCAAAGCTAGCGCCTCTGTGCCTTTCTTGTGTGTCGTAGCTCATCTCTTTTCAGCTCTTCCGCTTTCTAAGCCCCTGTGGTCACATGGGGCCCCCTGCACCGTGCAGGATCATCCCCCCATCTTATGGGCGGCTGATCTGCAAGCGTAATCCCCACTGCAACCTTAACCACCCTGTCTGTGTCACTGAACATGAAAGATGATGAATTGTCAACCGGGTGCAATGTTAGCAACTAGGTAACGGAAGAGACAGAGGGAACTTGAAGGCCTTATGGAGGTAGCAACTGCAGGTGCTACTGTCATGCCTCTGGCCATGGAGCTGAATCTTCATGGTGGGGATGATGGTCAGTGGTTGCTGGGACCTCTGAGCCTGGAGGGAGTACCCTTTGGACCTAGGGCTCAGATCTTTAAGGAAGGGACACTGGGCAGGGGGTGTGGTATGGCTAATGTCTCCATTGGGGCACCACACAGCGGACCCTACAAGTGTCGGGAAGTGTGAAACATTATGTAGTACTGAGGTTCATGGCCACACCCAGCTGCAAGGGAGGCTGGGAAATGTAGTCTTGGACCGCCCTAAGCCTAGCTAAAAATAAAAAATTCTATCACTTGAGGAAAAAGCTTTATTATTGGTGTCCACAATGGGGAGGGTAAGGGACCATGAAACTGTACAGGAGGGTGGCATGATGGCCCTAGTAGGAGAAGCTGAGGAACCGGGACTGGGACCAGGGGACCAAAAAAAGGGTGGGCACTGGGAAAGCGAGCTTCAGAGTCTACTCTACTCTCAACTAGCTGGGAACTGAGATTGCGAAGTGGTCCCACCTTCTCCCCTAACTCTGGAATTGTTTTCTTTCCCAAACTTCCAGAAACTTGCCCCCGACTCCCCGCCAGTGTCCCCTCCCAGTCCTGTCACCTTTCCTGATAGCAACTCTTCCCCCTCGGATACCTCTGCTATGGGCATCTCCCCATCTGGGATCCCTAAGCGTCGCACAGGTAAGATCATGTGGGCCTTACTTAGCCTTTCAGCGGCCCCTCTTCACATTGGGACTTTACCCCAGCGGCCATCCTCTTGCTGGCTCTGCTTTTAGTGTTGTGGTCAAGAGCAGGGCTACAATATCCACTGGCTGTGTGACCTGCAAGTGATTTAACTTTCTTTGAACTTCACTTGCTTCCTCTGTAGAACAGAGGGTGATGATTGCAATACCCACCTCACACAGAGGCGCTGGGAGTATTAAAAGTGAATATATGTAGAGTGCCTGGGACCGAGGCTGGTCCCTAGTAAGTGCCAGAGAAGCCATCTGGTGACCATGTGCCGTGATGGAGGTGGCACAGGTGATGTCTGGCCATAACTCAGGGAGACTTCTCAAGGAGAGATTAACCTAACTGAGCCCTGAAGGTGTAAGAGTAAGCAGGGACCAAGTATGAAGAGAGTTCTAGGCAGGGAGTATAAGAGTTGAGATGGCCTTTGGGCTGCTGATGACCCAGCGTGCCAGTGTGTAGAACACAAGGTCAGGGGCTGTGAACCATGGGACCAGAGATGGCCTGGACACATGGAGATGTAAGAACTTGAAGGGGAGTTTCGGGGGAATGTTCTGAGAGCATCTGCTAGAGTTGGGTACTGGGCCAACCACCTACTGTCCTCACTTATTTTGGGGGATTGTTCCCATTCTGCAGATGTGGAGAATGAGGTGCAAGGCACAGAGAGGTTAAATAACCTTCTCATGGTCACACAGCCAAGAAACTGCAGAGCTCAAAGGATAGGACTTGCGTAGGGGTTAGTGGCTGTGAGCAGGCAGAGAGAGGGAGCAGACCTCAGGAGCCCCATCATCAGTGGACTTGAGCTCTCTGGAGTGGGGGCAGATGGGCCAGTGAAGCAGTTGCCACATTTGCCTTCCCAGCCCGGAAACAACTTCCTAAACGGTCAATTCAAGATGTCCTAGAAGATCAGAGCCAGGACAAGGAGAGAGATGCCAAGAAGAGAAAGGAGGAGGAGAAAGGTGAGACACCAGGAGGAGGAAGGGTGTGTGTGTGTATGTATGTGTTGCCTGTGTCCTCCAGATGCATGTCCCACTTTCTCTTCTATTTCTAGGCCTATTTGATGACAATTGTTTTCCTTTAAGTGATTTCTTTTTCCTTGTGAATTTTACCAGAAATCAGAGTTCCCAACCTTTCCCAGACGCCCCTAGTGACTTAGTAATGTGTTCATGGCATCCCGAGAACCTTAATGGTTTGTTTCTTAATACATAGTTAAGGTCAAGCAGCTAGCTGTCTTCTTGCAACTTGGGCATTTGAGAAAGTAATAGTTATACAATGGAAGGAAAAGTAATATTTTTATTTCATTTTAAAATAAGCAATTAGGCCATCTCAGGGGCGTGCTGCACAGTTTCTCACACTCTGGAATCCAGTTGCAAACTGCTGCTGTCGCTTCCTATTCCACGTTGATTTTTGTGCAACTCTTGCCTTTTATCCCAGCAATCACTGAAAGCCCAGCTTTGTAAGAAATGCCTCATTAGGAATGACAGCGAATGTGATCTAGTATTACAGGAGTGAAATACCCACAGCTGGTAGTTCACACAGTGTCCACCAGATGTCCCAGTTTCCTTGGAAAATGTAACCTCACTTCCTGGCAATCTGAGATTATAATGGTGGCGATTGTTGCTGTTTGTTTTTTTCCATAAGTTGTCCTTAGGAGCCTCACCTTCCCAGAGCAGATTTGAACTTGGTGGAGATTTGATTAGCTGTTGGCAGGTTTTAGCACTATAAAGGGTCTGTCTCAGAGGTGCCCGCCTGGCTGGGGGTTGACAGTGGGCTCCTTACACCTCCCGTCGCACGAAGGAGAGAACAAGCTCGGACAGTGTCCTGGCCTTGAAATGTTCTTGGGGGGTCACAGTGTTTTGTATCTGATGTTTCTCTCTGTCACCAGAAACAGACCCCCCAACAGAAAGCCTCCAGCATCCTGAAGTGACAAGAAAGAAGGGAGCAGAAGAGGAGCACCAGCCCACACCACCCCCTGAGCCCTCAAAGGCCGCCAGTGAGTTTCTGATCACTGCAGGCCCATCTCTCTGGTTTTGAAGTCAGATGTCTTTGGAGGACAATTGCTCTATCTTTTGATTTAATTTTTTAAACCACCATTCCTTTTGTCCCTTGCTTCCTCCCTCCTCCTTTTTTGCCTCATGGCTCTCACCATGTTTATTCATGTTCACTAGTTTTTGTAAATACTTTATCATATCATCTGCTGCTTTATCAAATGTCCAGGATTTGTTTTTACCATTCTGCCTTGTTTAACTACATATAATTCTCTCACGTTCCCTTGTTTTAAACAAGATATAGATCCCCAAATGTCAATTGAGAATTCTAAGGAGACTTGGGTTTTATTGTTGCCATTGTTTTCGCTGTTCTAAAAGTCATCCTGCAATAAAATAGAGCTCTCAGCGATCACAGGTATTAAGCATTAGCCATTGAGCAGTAGTTTTTAAATGAGACAGCCATGCTGAGTTTCAGATTTTGAGTGGTTCATCCTCTGCTGTCTGGCTAGCCCTAAGACTCAGGTCTTATAACCATATGGGGACATTTTTTGGGTTTTGATTCATATCTGATTTTCTGTAATTGTTAAAGTGGGAACATTTACTTCTAGTCTAGTGGCTGGACTTCCTTTCCACAACCATTCAGGCCAGTGGACTTAGTGGTGAAATTCCACAAGTTAGTCCAGCAGTTCACAAGCGACTTCCTTCGTATGATGTCGTTTCATTCAAAGTGGTCTTGTTATAACACTGAGGAGAAAAATGAATCCTGGCCGACATTGAACAAAATGACACTTGAGGCCCTGTGTTTGTTACACATCATTGCACTTCAAGTCACAGTTTCCCAGAACCTAGAATGATGCTAATTAACCGAATAACATCAGGCCTAAGAGGCCCATGACATAGCTGCAGAAGGACAAGGGCAGGGTTGGGAGTTCAGACAGCGCCTCATCCTCTGACCCTTCATGTTAGAAACAGAGCCTCTGGCAGAAAGCATCTCAGAGCCTGAGGTGGCGATGAAGCAAGAACCAAGGGAGGAAGCCCAGGCGCCCCCTGCCTCGAGAGCTCCCAAGACTCTCAGCAGCTTCTTCAGTGAGTTTCTTCCCCTACTTCACCTTCTGCCTGACCTTCTGCCTTATCTCCACCTCATCTCCACCTATCCTCACCTTACTTCACCTCCCACCTCCCCCATCCTCCTACCTCACCTTCACCTGTCCTCCTACCTCCCCTCACCTCCTGCCTCAAACTCCACTTATCTTACCACCTCACTTCCCCTCTCCTCCCACCACATTTCCAGGGTTGTGCAGGAGCAGGTGGTGGGTGGGCCTTTCTCCAGTGAGTGCTACTAGTCCCTCATCGCCATCACCCTCTCCCCAAGAACCTAACATATTGGGCCAGTTGTGAGGGATGACAGAAAAAGGAAGGACCCACAATTTTCTTCATCCCCAGCCCCCCGGAAGCCAGCAGTGAAAAAAGAAGCAAAAGAAGAGGGATCTGGTACGCCAAGAAAGGAGGAAGCCAAGGGGTGAGTCACATACAGTAAGCGTCTCCTGGGCGTGACCCCCTCTCTTCAGTCCACTGCTTGGTGCTTGTGTGGGCGCCCCTGGAGCAGACAGCTGCCCCCTGCCCCGGCCCTCACCAAGCCTATGGGGGTTGCAGGGCACTGAGCAGATTGGGGTAGAGTTAACCACACTGCTATAACTGTGTTCAGTGCTTTGAAGAGAAAACACCTGAGCTTGCTTTGTTTCCATTCACTTCTGGCTTGGAACCAGCACTGGCACATCGTAGGTGCTAAATAAGTACTCTTTGGAGGACTGAGTGTCCCAGTTGACTCTTCCTTCTGCCTCCACAGACCCTTGGACCCAGCCAGCTACAATCCTGCTAAGAACAACTACCACCCTGTGGAGGATGCCTGCTGGCTGCCAGGCCGGAAGTGAGACATTCCCCGATTTGCCCCCAGACTGTCCTCACCCAGCCCTGTTGCCACAGGAGGCCCTCCAACCCAAGCCTTCTCTGGAGGGGACTCTCTCTGTCTCTGTGTTTTGGGGACACAGTTGGCCACACTAGAGGGAAGAGAGAACACTCTGTTCTCCCATGACATGCATCAAGAGGATGGTGTGAGCAGACTGTCCCCAGGGAGGTGTGGGAAGCCTGGGGTCAGTAGGTGGTTAGGACAACATGGCTTGTACATATTCATATCTCTTTCTCCCCAGGGTACCTTACCTGGCCGTGGCCCGGACATTTGAGAAGATCGAGGAGGTTTCTGCTCGGTACTAGATGGGGGCGGGGCTGGCCTTGGCCAGGCGGGTGCCCCTCGGCTCTGTCCTTATCCTATGTCTGGTGTCCCATGCTGGGAGCTTGCTATACCTCTCGAAGCCTGATCCTTCTTTCACTCCCCCATGCACCAGATCACAGCCACCAGAGGGGCCTCTGTGCGCCCAGGCTCAGGAGTCTCTGCTCCTTGTTGTGTTGGTCTGAGCAAGATATGGTGGTAAACCCAGAGTCCTGGTGTGGGAAAACCACTGTAAGCCCGTTGGCTTTTCGCTGTGTGAGCCGGAGGAGTCCCAGGTCTGGGTTATCAGGAGAGCCTCCTACAGGGCTCAGCAACCCTTTTCCCCCCTCCCTATCCCTGGTACCCACTCTTGTATATCAAGTTTATGTCAGTGTTCTCAGGGACTTTTCATTCTGCTCCCCACTTTTACTGTCAGTGTGGTTTGCAGATGATCTCCGTGGGGGTGTAAGCAGACTCCAGTTGTCGCTGCTCCTTGGCCATGACACATCTCACGTGTCACCACTCCCTTCTCGACACAGTGGAGCAGTCATGCTGTTTTCCAGCGCTTTGCTCTAAAAAACCTGTGTCTTTGTGAATAGGGAAGGGTCCTACCCTGGTGTGTGGCCCCGTGGTGGGGCAGGTCACACATGTTAAGGGCACCTGTGGGTGGCTGCAGTGTGCAGGCCAATTCACCAGAGCCTGGTCCAAGAGACAGTGGCTGGCCCAGCTCTGCTGCTTCCTGGTGTGTGACCAAAGGCAGGTGGCCTGACCTCTCTGAACTGAGGCTTCCTCATGAGTAAAATAAAGGTTGTCCATGTCAAGTTTGCAGTGAGAACTGTGATGTCCAGAAGTTCATTTACTTCTCAGGAGTTATCAGACAGCAGGTCAGAAGAACTGTAGGTGACTGTCCAAACCCCGTAATCCAAAGGTGGGGTTTTAAATTTCTTTTGGCTTTTTCATAACAATTTTACACTTACGAAAAACCCTGTAGAAATGGCAGCGTGTCCCCACACACCCATGGCCAGCTCCCCCTCGTGTCAGCGTCACGTCCCAGCACGAGGATCATCTTAAAAAACCGTGTGCCGTCACTGAGCAGGTGCCCTTGGTTCACGTCTCAGCTCAGTAGTTCCTTGCGCTGTGACCTGGGGCAAGTGACTGCATCTTTCGTTGCTGTTTTTCTTCCTCTGGAAAACAGAAACAATGATGGGTCTCCACCAAATAGTGATGAGAATTTGAGAAGTTAAACCCTGCAAAGCTTTCAAAGCCAGCACCTCCTATGTGGGAAATAGTCCAGCCACCATTGCTGTTGTTTCTCTGTAGATAGTTTCCCCCACCCCCAGCCTCTTGGCCATGGTGTAGCAAACCCAGTAACTGAGCTGCCATCGGCCGAGATGTGCTGTGGCTGCACTCACACACCTGATACTTTTTTGAGCCCTTTCCTAGGTCCTTCTTACTCCCCCTGGTGCCCCTGAAGTCCTCAGCAGTCACATCCCTGTCACCTCTTCCAGGCTGCGGATGGTGGAGACACTGAGCAACTTGCTACGCTCGGTGGTGGCCCTCTCCCCTCCGGATCTCCTCCCCATCCTCTATCTCAGCCTCAATCGCCTGGGGCCACCCCAGGAGGGCCTGGAACTTGGTGTGGGGGACGGCGTCCTTCTCAAGGCAGTGGCCCAGGCCACAGGTAAGCAGGGGTATGGGGGAGAGGGCAGGGGGGCAGCCCTCAGGGGAGGGCAGAGGTCCAGTGCACATGGCTTGAGAAGCCCGTTCAGGGAAGGGAGACTTGTAGCCATCTGCCTTCTCAGACTCATCACCCCGTTTCTCTGCACCCCAAGGTCGGCAACTTGACTCAGTCCGGGCAGAGGCTGCAGAGAAGGGTGACGTAGGGCTGGTGGCCGAGAACAGCCGCAGTACTCAGAGACTCATGCTGCCCCCGCCCCCACTCAGTGCCGCTGGGGTCTTCACTAAGTTCCAGGACATCGCCCGGCTCTCTGGCCATGCTGTGAGTGGGGTGGCCTACACCCCAGACCCTCGGCTCTCTGTCTCTGTGCAGGAGTGGGTAGGGAGGGACTCAAGGCATATGTGTGGCAGGATGACGGCTGGGGAGACTCTCTGGTTGCATGGCCCGAGTTCTGCATGTGGGTTGCCGAGCTTTCTCTCCTTCCATACTCAAGATGGGTGCTCCTCTAGAGATCCTCACACATGCACTGGTCATGTGCTGGGACTCAGCGAAGATTTACTGAAGAAAACCAGTTGGAGAGGCAGAAAGAAGAGCTGACCTTTCTTACCACCCAGAGAGCAGGACCCATGGAGTCTGGAATTGGGGGAGAAAAGGGCAGGTTTTCCAAGGGTGGCTGGGAAAAGGTATGGCGCGGCAGTTCACACCACATTACTGGCCGCTCTTCCCTCTCCTCAGTCTACAACCAAGAAGATGGACGTCATCAAAGGCCTCTTTGTTGCCTGCCGCCACTCCGAAGCCCGCTACATTGCCAGGTGAGGGTGTGGGCCTGTGAGTTTAGGGAGCTGGGCAAATGGGGGGCACCAGCAGTTGCAATCATGCAAGTGTTCTGAAGGTCTTGAAAAAGCAACACCAGTGAGGGGCGCGCTGACCTTGAGGGACAGAAAGGGAACACAGGTACCACCTGAGAAAGGAGTTTGGGGCTTATGGGCAGAGCTGAGATGGATTAATGATGTCTGCTGTGGCCTGCAAGTGCCGGGACAGTGCCTGAACCCAAGAAAAGAGAGTAATGGAGCTCATATTCTACAATATTTTTTGGGTACCCTGCCTTTGGCCCCTTGATCATCAGTCCATCCTGTATCTGTGAGGGTAAGCCTTAGTTTCCTCCTCTTTAACTAAAAGTGGGGCCTGTGCCAGGGATAGGTCCTTAACCCTCATTCTTCAGTCCTTACGCCCCCACCCCCAGCTGCGGTCTAGATCAGGCCTGGCTCTGCCCCTGCTTCGCCATATCCCAGCCTCACCATCTTCTCAGAGTGCAGCTGAGTTGAGGCAGAGACGGCCGAGAGGCACCCCATACTGTCCCCAGGAAATGCCAGTAGTCATGATCATGACTGGTTAACCTCAGTTTTCTCCTCTGTTAAGTGGAGGCGTGGGAGCTTTTGGTTTCTTTCCAGCCCTGGCTTTCTTTAGTAAGTCTTCACTGAGTCCCAGCACATGACCTCCTTCAAAGGGTTAAGGAGGGGAAGATTAGAGGAGGTAGGAGTAAGGTATGGTGAGCAGGGTTGAACATGTATGGACAGGTCCCCCCATTATTCTCTCCCCAGAGCCCTGAGTGGACGGCTGCGCCTTGGGCTGGCAGAACAATCCGTGCTGGCCGCCCTGGCCCAGGCTGTGAGCCTCACGCCCCCAGGCCAAGGTGAGCCCCCTGCCAGTCCCACTTTCCCTCGCCACCCCCCCCTTCCTGTTCCCTTTGCCACTCCAGGTTTCTCTCCCCTGAGGGAAAGTCCTCCTCTTTTGTCTTGGGTGGTGGCTGTGTTTACCTACTCTTGAGGTACAACACAACACCCACTGTGCATCCTGGGGTAACTGAGTGGGCGGGCCCATCCCAAAGCCTCTTCTGGGTCTTCTCTTAGAATTCCCACCAGCCGTGGTGGATGCTGGGAAGGGCAAGACTGCAGAGACCAGAAAGACGTGGCTGGAGGAACAGGGCATGATTCTGAAGCAGACATTCTGGTGAGAACAGAGGGGTCAGGCAGCCAGGGGACAATGGACTCAGCACCAGGGGTGACAGGAGACCTGAGAGGGGAATGGATGGGGCATGAGAGGTTACAGGGAGTATTCCACAACCACCTCCCAATCTTAGATGTTTCTCTAGAGGCTATTACTGGGGTTAGCCTCGTGTACCTTTTAGGTGGTCTCAATGCCATTTCTTATCCTGGGGAAATGTTCTTGGACAACATCTGGGAGCGGGGGAGGCAGCGGAAAGTGCGTTCCAAAAGCAGGGCCAGGGGCTGCTCCAGGGTCATTGCCTCCCCCCACGCTGCCTGTGACCTCATGTCTGCCCCTGCCAGCACCTCAGAGCCTGTGGAGGCAGGGCCCACCTTGAGGAGACTTCTAATGTTTGTTCCTGGATGGAGAGTCGCTGGTCCCATGATGACTGATGGGGAAGATCTAAACCAAGGGAGTCAGTGATATTACTGACACTGAGGGAGGACCAGTGAAAGGCGGGTGGACAGGACAGGCAGGAGCAGACCCACAGACCTGGTGACAAGCAGAGACAGATCTTGCAGCCAAAGAGCAGTTACCAGGCTGCCTGAGTTCTGGAAAGAGTCTCAACTTGTTCTTCCCCCCACTCACCCCAGCGAGGTACCTGACCTGGACCGGATTGTCCCGGTTCTGCTGGAGCATGGCCTGGACCACCTCCCAGAGCACTGCAGGCTGAGCCCAGGTACATCCCCAGGGGCCCCTCAGGCAGCACAGCCTTCCCCCACAACCTGTCATATGTCCACCTTATCTGTGGTCTCTCGGGGACTAAAATGTCATCAAATGACATGACCGTCATCCCAAGTGGGGAGATCAGGCACCCTTCTGAGAGGGGTGTTGTCTTCATCGGTGGTGAGGGAGGAAAATGGGTCCAGGCCTCACTCTGACTCATCACTTACCCCCCTTTCCCTTCACATTCTCTCCTCCTCTTTCAGGGATCCCCCTGAAACCAATGTTGGCTCACCCTACCCGGGGTGTCAGTGAGGTGCTGAAACGCTTTGAGGAAGCAGCTTTCACCTGCGAGTACAAATATGACGGGCAGAGGGCACAGGTATGGGGTGGGCGGGTACCTCCCTTCAGACCTGAGCTGCTGCCACAGCCTCCCACACACCCTGCATGCCTCTCAGGGCATCAGTCCCCACCTGAAACTAAGAAGGTGGTGGGCCTCCCACAAACAGGGTTGGGGGTGCTGTTTGAACAAGGATGCATTTAGGTCGCTGTACCCATTCCTTTTCCAGAGCTTCTAAAACTTTGTCCAGGGAAGGTGGGGATCAGAAGAAAAAGGAGGGGCAGCCAGTGTGGCCTGGGCTCTGATTTCCTCTCCCTCCCCCACTGTTCAGATCCATGTTCTGGAAGGCGGGGAGGTGAAGATCTTCAGCAGGAACCAGGAAGACAATACTGGGAAGTACCCTGACATCATCAGCCGCATCCCCAAGGTGGGCATCTGCTGTTAGGAGCACCAAGAGCTGAGGCCCAACTTGCGGGGGTTGAGGGTGGGGTCAGGGGTTATTGTCAGGGGAGTGAATGCATTTTGCAAATCATGGAACAGCTGACTCACTGGCCCTTTCTCAAATCTGGGGCCAAGCACCCCAAGGCTGGCCCTGATGTATCCTGACTCCGCCCATACCCCTAAACCCAACTCATTCCTGTCTCTGTCTTCTGCTGTTCCCCTTATTGGCTTTTCACTCCAAACAGCTGCCACACTTCCAGACAGAAAGAGGAGAAGGAGTTCCAGCTTCTGTCTCCTCTCATGAGGAAAGAAATCACTGTCCTAAGTCCCTTCCAGCACACCTGGCTGTGCCTGGCTGACTCCACTTGGACTTCTGGGCTAGCAAGGGCCCGTGACCACCCTGGGGTGGCAGTGGAGGCTGGGGAGCCAGGATCTCACTCTCCAGCCAGCATGACAGTGACCTGAGAGAGGGCTGGGTGCTGACCAAGAAGAGCCACCTTCTCTGCAGGGGCCATGGGATATTTTTTAACAGGGATGTGCTGTGATGATATTTGGGGTTCCAAGAACACTGTAGTTTCTGAGGACATTAGGTTATACAGGTGCGGGACCAGGAGACCGATAGAATGAAGAAGTGTGAAGGGCGGGGTGTGGACGCCTTAGAATTTCAGAGAGGACTTGCACAAGTACACTAGGGAACTGGATGTGAAATGAGAGGTATAGGGAGACAGTAGAGGCTCCCAGCATGTGGGACCAAATAGTAGTCATGGGAAACTTCATTTTTTTCCCTTCAGTGTGTGGAATAGGAGACAAGGATCTGTGTTCCTGAGTGTCTCTTTGGGGTTGGTGTCAGTTCACCTGTGGATTTTGACAGCTGTGAAAGGAAAGGAAGTTTCTGTCCCTGTGTCTGTCTTTTGGCTTTTTCCTGCCTTCTAACTACTCTTTCCCTTCTAGATTAAACTCCCGTCAGTCACATCCTTCATCCTGGATGCTGAGGCTGTGGCTTGGGACCGGGAAAAGAAGCAGATCCAGCCATTCCAAGTGCTTACCACCCGCAAACGCAAGGTAGCCTCAGCCCCTCTCCTCTCCCTGCCATGGCCTCACATTCCCTCATCTTCCAGAAGGACAAAGTCTGTCAGACAGGATGCTGTTGTCTCTACCATTTGCATTATGACTGCCACAGCTCCAGCCATTGCATCTTATTTTAAGCATACGAAGCAGGAAGGGAGTTAGGTGGAAGGGATGGGCCCTTTTCCTATATCTGTTTCATTATGAAAAAAGATCTGTTCCAGGAGCACCCCCACCCCACCCCACCCCAGTCTGCCCCCACAGCCGAGTAATTTACTTATTCTTATTGGCTACTGTTGTGTCAAGTACCACTGTTAGTTGCATGGCAGTTTGGGAGGGCAACTGTTAGCTACATGGCAGTTTGGGAGGGCAACTGTCCACAAAGGGAAATGAAGCTGGGATTAGCCAAGAGCCATCAGCCCTCAGGGGCAGGACCAGCATCCTTGCCACCCTCACCAGTGTGCAGCCTATTAGCTGGGGATAAAGGGAGGTGACAGCAGTGTCTGCTTCAGACCCCAATTCTGTCCCTCACTCCTGCTCTCTGTTCTGCCCCAATTCAGGAGGTGGACGCTGCAGAGATCCAGGTGCAAGTGTGTCTGTACGCCTTTGACCTCATCTACCTCAATGGAGAGGTGAGTTCCCCCTTCATGTTGTGGGGCAGCTGAGGTGGTGAGGTATGAGCTCGGGAGCCAGCATTCTGTGTTTGATTTCCGTCCGTGCCACATCTCCAAGCTAGGATGCCACTCTCAGCAGTTGTTCCCAAAGCGTGGTCCCTGGACTCCTGTGGGTCCCTGCGACCCTTCTAGAGTGGCCTGTGAGACTCTCCCTTTTCCAGTCCACATCTGTGTGACGCGGATTTACTTTGTGCGTGGCAACCAGAACACTGTCTTGCGGCCCTCTGGGCTAGGAGCAGCTGCAAGAACCCAGCCTCTATTAGGCCTGACACTAAATGCTTTGCAAAAATGTACAAGAGTGGCCCTTTTCTGATTATTTTAAAATGCAGGCCTGTTTCATAAAGAAATATGTTTTTGGCTTACCTTTAGATTTATTATTTTTAAACGAACAGTGTTTTTAACATCCTTGCTTTTAATCTGACAGATGTGGACACGTGATGTAACAATATGTGGTAACTATCATGTGACGTAGCCCATACACACACAGGTTTTCGAGTGAGTCCTCAGTAATTTTCAAGAGTTGGAAGGGGGCCCAAGATGGAAAAGATTGAGGAAACCGCTGCTCGTGGCATTCATTTTCTATTTCCACAATGACGATAATCCCTTCCTCTCTCTCCTGCCGCCCAGAGCCTGGTCCGAGAGCCCTTTTCCCGACGCCGCCAGCTGCTTCGGGACAACTTTGTGGAGACAGAGGGTGAGTTTGTCTTCGCCACCTCCCTGGACACTAAGGACACGGACCAGATCGCTGAGTTTCTGGAGCAGTCAGTGAAAGGTAAGAGTGTCTGGGGCTGCTGGGGCTGGGGCTTCCCTGCTCTCCTTGCTGATCCAGCCCCAGCCAGCTCACCTGGTCCAGACACCTGCCTGCCCCCATCACCAGAGCATTGCTTGTGTCTCTTCAGACTCCTGCGAGGGGCTGATGGTAAAAACCCTGGATGTCGATGCCACCTATGAGATTGCCAAGAGGTCGCACAACTGGCTCAAGGTGACCTCCCACTCCCAGCCCCCAGCCTAGCCTCCCACCCAGCCCAGCAGATGGAAGTCTGTCCCTACCTGGTGGTCCCTATTTGAGCTCAGGGGCCCTTGTGCCATCCCAACTGTTGCAGTCCGACTCTGATTTCCCTCTCTCCTCCTGTAAGCCCATAGTAAGGAATCCACCAGTAGTGGCTTGAGCTGCCAGGAATCCCATGGTGAGAAAGCCAGATGAGGTTTCTCTCCCCACTGAGCTCACCACCCATGTTGGGCAAGGTTGACAGGAAGGAAGTCAGGTGGGACTTGAACCAGACAAAGTTGGTTCACTGAGAAGAAAGCAGGTCAGCTTAGGCCAGGGAGGGTATTTGGGAAAAGCCCCTTCAGAGGTGATGTTCCCGTAGAGATACAGATGATAGGATGTAAAGATGGGCGCTGGGGATTGGCAAGGGCAAAGGCCCTGAGGTCAGACAAACTCAGCATATGCAGGGAGCAAGGGCCATAGAGGTGTGAGGTGTGGAGAGCAGGTCCTTGATCACACAGGTGTCGGGGGCCTTGGTAAAATAAAATTAGATTTTCCTCTAAGGGTTTTGGGAGACCAGCGGAGGCATCATGAGCAGGAAGTCCTGTGGCCAGTTTGTCATTTTGCCCGGGTCTTCTGACTGCTGTGTGGATGGTGATGGGTGTGGGGCTGCTGGGCAGGAGGCTGTTGTCTGGTAAATGAGGGTGGAGGCTTGAATAGAGAGGTATGAAGAGGGGGTGAGGTTGAGCCATCCAGGCCTGCCCATTAGGCTTCCCAGTCCATGCCTGCCTCCCCTCCCAGATGGTAAGCAGCAGCAAGAGCATGAACCTTTCCTGCCTCGGGATGTGTTCTCTGTAGCATTCCCACACCTGAGCACTTGCTGGGGCACACATTGGGCATTTAGTGAATATTCTAGGGGGATGGATAAATGTTCTCTGTGTGAAGGAGCAAGGGGAGCATCTCCATACTGAAGGAAAAGGAAAAAATCCAGCCAGGGCCTCCCCCTCTTGCTCCTTCCTGCTTTTCTATTCTCCATCTTCTTTCCCATCTGCCATCCACTCTTCTTGAGCCCTAGAATCCCCGTCCACATCCCATGTCCTCAGGGTGGCTGCCATCAGGCTGCTTTATGCCCCAGTCCCTCCTCAGCCCTGAACCTGCAGGCACAGGATCCCCACCTCATCTGCCACCCTTTGTCCTCCAGCTGAAGAAGGACTACCTCGAAGGTGTGGGTGACACCCTGGACCTCGTGGTGATCGGCGCATACCTGGGCCGGGGGAAGCGGGCTGGCCGCTATGGGGGTTTCCTGCTGGCCTCCTATGATGAGGAGAGTGAGGAGCTTCAGGCCATATGCAAGGTGCTGAGGGCCAGACCGCAGAAATTGGGGGGAGATTTGACTCACCTGGGGAGGACCACAGCAGGAGGCAGTCACATCCTCCCATGAGGGATTATCTCTCCTAGTTTTCAGTGACTTTTGGGGTTGGTGGGAGGCAGGGGAGCCCACAGGGTGACTTTCTAGGCTAGGGAGATGGGACAGTTGGGAGCATTTGGGAAGGTGACTCTCCATAGGAAGCTGGAGGAAGTTCAGGCCTTTGGGAAGTCCCTGACCTCTTGTCTCCCCACAGCTTGGCACTGGCTTCAGTGACGAGCAGCTGGAAGAACATCACCAGAGCCTGCAGGTGAACATGAGGGCCCTGCCTCGCCTTCTCTCCCCTAATTGCACCTCAGTGGGTGGGGGACTCTTGGCCTCCCCTATCTGGGGCTCAGGGCCAGCTGCCGGTGAAGCAAAGCAGGCAGTGCTGCTGGCTTTGGCCAGATCTGCCAGCCACTTGCCAGTTATATGGGGCAGGGGGCCTCTTATCCCCCAGCTCAGTGCTTCTGGAATGCAGGACAGTTGTGGGGTTCCCTGAGGTCCTCTCGAAGAATGCTGGATAAACCCTTAGTAATAGGAGTGTTTGTTGTCATGGTTATAGGCTTTTTGGGAGCAGGGGTCAAACTTTTTATCATGAATTGGTGTCTCTGGGTCCTGTCTCTGACCCATTCTGTAGTTTTCTCTCTCTTTCTCTGTGTCTGTCTCCCCTTCTCTACCCCTGCCCCCCTGCCACCGGGTCTCTCTAACACTCTCTCTAGGCCATTGTCCTCTCTCTCTGGGTTCCTGTCCTCTGGGTCTCTGCCCCCCCCCCGCCTCTTTTTGCCTTTAATCTCTTGTCTCGGGGTCTCTTTCATTTCTTCCCATTTCCTCTCAGTTTTTTACTTTTAAGGGGTATCTATGCTCTGTCTTTCCCCTTCCCCCATCTTCCTTCCTCACCCCTCAACCCTCTGCCTTGATGTTGAGACCTGACCCCTTCTCTTCCTCATTCCCACTCCTACCTGCCACAGGCCCTGGTGCTGTCTGGGCCCCGCTCCTATGTACGGGCCGATGGCGCCGTGGCCCCGGACCATTGGCTGGAGCCCAGTGCCGTGTGGGAGGTGAAGTGTGCCGACCTCTCCCTGTCCCCCATCTACCCAGCTGCCCGCGGCCTGGTGAGTGACAGAGGTCCATGGGGAGGTCTCCCTGAGGAATTCATGTGGGAGGTGGGGAAGGGGCTGGGAGCCCCTGCTCTCCTTAGGGGTGAGCAAGAAAACTGGAATTTGTGCTATATTTCAGTGTCAGATAATGGGGTCCACGGTTTTACTTTTGAAAAAGAGAAAGCAGTGACCTGGCCCCTGCTCACGTCATCCGCCCCTAGTCCACTTTCAAGTCATTTTTGAAGACCCCCCTTCTTTCATCTAGAAGTTTAGCAGGATTCCTACCCAGCTGCTCCGTCTTCTCAACCACAGTGAATGTTTTGAAACTCCTGTGGCCAATTCCTTGTGCTTCAGTCTCGGTTCTGGCTGAAGTCCTAGCAGGGCAAACCCAACCTGTGTCCAGCCCTAAAGCTCTCAGCTTCTCAGAACAGACCCCACATATTAAAAGCAGATTCTGTGAGATTTTTTCTGATTCTTCCAAATCAAGCTACATGCTCTTTTCTTTTTTTCTTTTTAATTTTTTTAATGATTTATTTATTTATGCATACAAGTTCTGGGGTGTAAGCCAGAGGTGCGAGGAGGTGAGAGGATTCACCAGAGAGAGTGGGCAGCAGAACAGGCAGACTGACTGAAGTATACTGCTGAGGGGAGCAGTGGGCGAGGCAGAAGAGGTCTGCTCGCCATGTTGGTTGCTTGCTGGCCAGCCAGGGATAGAACTCGTGCTGCAGTGGCTAGCGATAGCTTGATAGTGCTGTCTTTAACCCCTGAGCCACCAGGGAGGGCCTACGTGCTCTTTTCCAATGAGAAGCTCACTTCCATTTAAAGGCGGAACTTATCATTGCCATTTAATTTTGCTTTTGAAATGCCCCTCTTGCTCAACATTTGAGATTCAGGGTCCATGGGATGACCAGTCACCAGACCACCGATTTCTGAGACTTTGGTGGGGCAACGCCATGCCAAAAAGCCTGCCACTGTGTACATTGCCACTATGTGCACTCACCATGTCCTCACAGAAGCACTCAGCATCCCTATTATACAGATGAGGAAGTAAAGTCCCAGGGAGCTAAGTAGCTGGTCCAGGTCCTGTGGCTCTTGAGAGCTGGGATTTGAACCCCAAATTTGCTTCTAGAATCCACAACTCTGCCCTTCACCTAATAATAACAGCTGCATCATCAGTAACTGCCATGCAGCCGGACTTACCTCAGCCCTTATGATGCCCAGGTGTGGTCCCTAAGGCACACTGTTGGCCTTATTTAATCCTCACAACCATTTCTGAGCCCCGTTATGGGGCTCAAGAAACAGACCCAGGATGCAGGAGCATGGACACAGAGGGTGCCTGCCATCATCCCTGTCTCCCCCAGGTGGATAGTGAGAAGGGGATCTCCCTTCGCTTCCCTCGATTTATTCGTGTCCGTGAAGACAAGAAGCCAGAGGAGGCCACTTCCAGTGCCCAGGTGAGGCTCCCAGAGGAGGGCTGGGCCCCCCAGGGTGGCACCTTGGAGATGGGGTTCTGACCTGCTCTGACCAAGGTGGGCAGGAGGGTGTCCCAGGGCTTCTGACTGCCACTCCCACTCTTTCCCCTCAGGTGGCCTGTCTGTACAGGAAGCAGAGTCAGATTCAGAACCAGCAAGGCGAGGACCTTGACTCCGAAGGGGAGGATTTCTACTGACCCTGCCCCCTGCCAGGAGAGCACAGCAGAAGAGCCTGGGGGTCTTCTCTCTGGTGCTCAGCAAATCGCTGTCCAGTCCACTGGGTTTGGGAAGTCAGGTGTGTGTGTGTGTGTGTGTTTGTGTGTCTGTAAGGGGGTGGAATTCTGCTGCTTGGTTATTTTCAATAAATAATTATTGAGTACCTACTCTGTGTCTAAGCCTCTGCTCAGCTTGGGGGATATGGAACAGTCTGACAGCAACAGTCTATGCCATCCCCTTCCTCCAGAACTTTCCACAGCAATGGAAATGTTTCACATCTGCACTGTGCACATAGCAGCTGCCAGCCACACATTGTGACTGGTACAATTGAGGAGGCGCATTTCATTTAAATTTTTGTTTAATTGTTATCTGAACAACCACAAATAGGTAGTGGCCATTGTGTTGAAAAGTGATAGCTTAAGCTCTTGACACATAAATATATATGGGTTCATCAGATCTCATAGCTCTCTTCCTAGGTGGGCTCTGTAGAGAGCTCTGTTTCGCAGGTGAGGACAGAGAAGGTACATAGCTTACCTGGGGTTACTATTGGGGACTCAGAGGTCTGGCTCTAGGCCTGACCTCAGAGTCCTCAACACCATTTTTTTGCACCACATGAGGTAGGCAGGGCCTGGACCTGTTGGGCTTACTCTGCTATCCCTAGTCCTTAGTGCAGAGCCTGGCCTGTAGTAGGTGAAATTTTTCCTGACCCAAAAAGCTGCCCTTTCCTTCTTCCTGCCTTTGCTATAGATGTGATGGTTGGAGCTGGGGCTGCCACTTTGTCATCATGAGGAATAAGTCAGGTGCATCCCAGAGACATCCCTTAACTAGTGAGTCTAGGGCGGCAGCTGAGTCTCTGGGCCTCACGTATGTGGGGGAAGGAGATAGGTGGTGGGGGGCCAAGGGGAAGAGAGTAGGAATAGCTAAATCCCAGTGTGATTATGCCTCTGTCACTTTGTTTTTTGTTTCTTATAACTAAAAGAATTTTTACTGATACTCATCTACCCTCAAGGACAAGCAAATTAATGTGTGTTCATACTTATCAGGTTCAAATCAATGGTTTTGGTTTTTTATTGAGATACAAGTTTTATGACACTAGGTTTTATATGTGCAGTTTTTCATATCAGCAACCATATATCACCTCACGCCTACCACCTAGTGTTCATTAGTACCCACCACTAGCCAATCGACCTGACTACTCTCTCACCCCTTTTCTCCCTCTGGTAATCACCACTCTGTGATCAGACTAAACGTTTGTTTTATGTTTTGCTTTTTTTCTTTGTTTTCCATATATTAGTGAAATCATCTTTCTTTCTCCTGACTTATTTTACTTAGCATCATCCCCTCCAGGTCCATCCATTTTGTCACAGATGGCAGGAGATTTCAACCATTTTATTGCTGAGTATCCTATTGTGTATATAGCCCACATTTTCTTTTTTTAAAGATTTATTTTTATTTATGCATACAAGAGATGGGGTGTAAGCCAGAGACAGAGTGGGGAACAGAACAGGTGAATCTACCGAAATACAGTAGATCCACCTAAGGAAAGCTAAGGGGAGCAGTGGGCGAGACAGGAGAGGTCTGCTGCACCCTGTGTGGGTCAACTCTCTGGCTAGAGGTCTAACTCAGGCTGTGGAACTCAGGCCACAGCCGTGATAGCACTGAAACTTAACCCCTAGGCCACCAGGGAGGCCTTAGCCCACATTTTCTTTATCCACTCATCTCTCATTGGGCAGTTGGATTGTTTACATCTCTTGACTGAGTAGTGCTGCAGTGAACATAAGGGTGCATATGTCTTTTGAATTAGTGTTTTCATATTCTTCAGATGAATACCCAGAAGTGTGATTGATGGATCATTCTATTTTTAACTTTTTTGAGGAAACTCCATATTCTCCATAGTGCCTGCACCCATTTACATTCCCACCAACAGTGGATGAGACTTCCTTTTTCTCCACATTCTCACCAACATTTGTTTCTTGACTTTTGGAGAATAGCCGTTCTCATGAATGTGTGGTGATACCTTATTGTGATTTTAAATTCTTGTGCCTGTTGGCCATCTGTATGTCTTTGGAGAAATGCCTATTTAGATTCTCTGCCCATATTTTAATTGGTTGGTATGCTTTGTGGTTGTTGAGTTACATGAGTTCTTTATCAAATAAATATTTATGGCAAAATGATATCTGATTAGGTGTAAACTATTGTATATCTGGCATCTGCATGTCTGTGTGGCTCTGGGGGAGCCAGTGAAACCCAAACCCAGCCAGGGACACACTCCTCCCTATGCCTGCAGGGTCCTTGTGAACAAAACCATTATCAGCCAAGACAAGCACATCCTCACCCATCAGCAACCCTCATGACGACCCACTAGATGTGGGCACCTTTATTGTCTCCACTGAACAGGTGAGTACGCTAAGGTATAGGGATGTAGTTACTTTCCTCAGGTCCACTATCTAGTAGGGGACCAGGACTTGGTCCAGGCCATCAGCAAAAAGCCCCCCACTTGTGGCCTCTTAACTGCAATGCCCAAGTACAGGGTCGTGAGTGTGCCCGCGAGGTTGTGGAAACTTACCCCTAGATAGGCCACTGACCCCTAAGGTCCAGGATTGAAAAAGATCAGTTTAATGACCAGAAGATGCGGACAGTGAAGAGAGGAGTCTGGAGTAGGCAGTGCATAGAGACCCCTGAAATCCTGTTCTAAAAATTGTTGATGCTTCAGTGGAGGGAGAGCTATGGTGATTGCACCTGAGGGGGCATGGCCTATACTGTCAAAACACTGGCAAGTATATGGAACAAGGGTACTTCAATAACAATAAATAAATAAAAATTAAAAAGATACAAATTGGTGCCTCATTGATGGTGTCAAGGGATGCCATTCCCACCCACTGACTGTTTCAAGTTCCCCCAAAGTTCTTCTCTCTTTCCTTTCAGAGTTCTGGGAAGCATTTCTTGAGTTTGACAAGGACCAAGATGGGTTCATCTCGTGTAAGGATCTGGAGAATCTCATGAGGACAATGGGTTATTACATGCCCACAGAAATAGAACTGACTGAGCTGGGCCAGCAAATCTGCATGAACTGTGAGACCCAAGGTTGAGAGAGGGTGGGAGGATGACTGGAGTTAGGAGAGGACGAAGGGTAGAACTAGGAGAGCTGTGGAGGGTGCATAGTAGATTGGAGACAGGAAGGGAAGTGTACGAGGGTCTAGAAGTTTGAAAGGAAGCAGTTCAGACTCTACTTTGGGAGGCAGCACTTAAAAGGATGAGAGGCATCTGGGTTCAAATCCCAGTTCAGTTACTTACTATTTGTGGTGATTTTGAGAAATACAATGAACCCTCTTTTGAGTCTTTTCCAATCTTTTGAGTAAAGATGCTATGTCTCCTTAGCTCATGGGTTTTTAGGAAGGATGGTATGGATTGTGGAAGGAAGGGATAAAGGTATTGATGCAGGTAAAAGCTTATCCAGTGGTAAATGCTTATTAAGTGTAGGTTATCAGTGTTCCCACAGAGATGCATCAGTGGAGCACAAGATAGGACCTGCCTCTGACATTAGAAACAAACTTGTATTTGGAGGTAGCAATGATGAATGTCATCATAGAGGGGATGGCCTTTTAGATGGTGACCAGAACTGATTTTGAGTGTGCAGCTGGGTTCAATTATCTTTGTTTACTGAGTAAACAAGGTTGAATTCAAGGACATGATAGGATGCATATATGAAAGATTTGGTGTTCATTCCACTCATAATCTCCAATCTACAGATGAGGGAACAGAGAACTAAGCCAATTAAGAAACTGGTCACATGGACAGTTCTTTCCACCCTACTGCACCCTGCCCACTCAGATTAGAGGGACAAGAGTGTTCCCAGACAATCGAAAGATAAAGCTCTTGGGAGGCAGAAGGATTGAAGCAGATCTATTTCTTAACAAACTTGAAAGGCAAAATGGAAGCTATGGGAGGTTGCAGGCTATGGGATCTCACTAAATCTGTCTCTTCTGTCCTCAGTGGGTGGCTGTGTAGATTTTGGTGACTTCGTGGCGCTGATGGCCCCTAGGTTGCTTACAGAGACAGCTGGGATGATCGGCATCAAAGAGATATGAGATGCATTCAAGGAAGTGAGTTCAGAGTTTCATAAAATTGAAAGTTATTGAGGACATCCTGAAGGTCTATGTTTAGTCATTAACTGTGGACAGAACCCACTAAGGCCAATTGTTTTTTCCTAATGATGGTAGATTATTGGGGAAAGAAAACAACATATTCCAGCCACTTGCAATGGACAGGGTGCTCTATATCTTTCATCCAATATAATCCTCACACACAACATTAGCAATAATGAGTCTTTTTTCCCTATCATACATGGGAGGAAAGTGAAATTATAAATTTTCTCCAAGATCCCACCATCTCCCAAACACGTTAGAGCCTCTAGCCTTTGTAACTGTAACAGGAAAAAGGAACAAGAGCACTCTCAAGAAAAAGAGCAATCTCAAAGAGGGAACTCAAAGAGCTAATCTGGTTTAACCCACATATAGAAGAAGCACTTCAAACACAAGATGCAGGGAGGATAAGAGGCTTGCTGAGATTCACTGACATGCCCTGAGAAAATGCTTTCTTCATTCAGAGCACCTTCAAGAACATGAGGCTAGAATTCAAGGACATGAGGCAGGAAAAAATAATAGTGTGGTGTTTGGACACAAAGGCCTGGGTGCCAGGGAAACGGGGGTTCAAACCCCTGGATATCGATGCCTATTTGTGTTGCCTCCCTGTTTCATCAAATGATCTAAAGCTGCCTTGACCAGTTCCTCGAACAGGAAACACTGTGTCTCAAACCTGGGCCCACAGCGCTGCTGAACCCTATACAGGTGGCGAGTGTGAGACTGTGGACCCAAATTTTTAATTGTATCTCACCTTGTTTTGTTTCAATTAAATTACTTCATTTCCAGTGACAGTCAACTGGATATAAATCCGGTTCCTTTCTGTTTATAAACACATACTCGAATCCCATTACTGGAGAGCTTCCAATTGGAGCAACTTGGATATGTGAATCCACCTTGTCAATCATACTCATTTTTTGAAAACTAAATAGGCATCAAATACTTCTGATACAATTTAGGTCTGCAGATGTAAAATACACCTGGATGAAGACTTAGCACACTTTGCTCAAGCAGCCTTGTTTGACAGCATGTTAACTAGCTCTGCTAAGCACATGCAAAGGACTTCCCAAGGTCATGGCCTGTGTTTTATGGAATCCAGTGTGCATAAAAAGAACGCATCACAGCTCATTTATAAGTTTTAAATCTGTTATGTGCCAAAATGGTAACATATGGGAAATATTGACTTTAATAGAAATGACAATTAAAATTTTATTTCAATTGTTCCTTTTAAATTATTTTTAACATGGCTGCTAGAAAATTTTAAATTAGCCACAAGGTAACATTGTATTTCTCTGGGACCATGCTGTGCTAGAGACTCATATTCCAGACTGAGGAGCAGGTGAAAATGCTGGAAGGTGTATTTGCAGGAGAGCAAGGAGCCTGGGGTGCTTGAAGTGGAGAGACTGGGATGCTTGAGTTGGAAAGAGTGTGACAGGAAAAGGCATGGTTGGTTGACACTAGTATCCAGAGGCACGATCTAAAGATATGGAGATGGAGCCCAACAGACCCCAAAGGTAAAGATATGGAAATTGAGCCTATTGTAGATTCGGTCCCTTTCAAATTCTACATAGTTATCCAAAATTAGCAACCAATTTGACAACTCACAAGGAGTGACCCCTCCCAAACAGAAGAAGACTATATCAGTTCAGTCTCTGCACAGGCTGGGGGCAGCACTCCCACTGCCCACCTGTGACTATCCAGGTGGCTCTTTTCACCAATTCTCTCCCTCTATTGGGCAGCAGCCTTCCTGCCTGACTATGACCTGTCAAGGCCACCTGCCTGCAACCATGCAGGCCTCTCTTAGCAAACCTGTCCCTTCTGGGATAGCTCTTCCTGCCTGCTTGTGTCTATGCAAGTGTCTTTAGCTGTTTTATCCCTTCCATAATAAACCTGCCCTTTAAATATTAAAAAAGAAAAAAAATTCATGCTTTTTAAAAAATTATTACAGTCGCATGAAATAAATGAGGTCTCAGTGTTGCCAAGTACAGGGCCCAATCATGTAGGAGTTTGCATTCAGTGTTAGGATTTTATTCTGAGTGGGGCAGGAAGCTACTGATGGGTTTTCAGCTGGGGAGTGACAAGATCTGACTTATGTTTGAAATGAATGTAAATGTGAAGTCCTGACGTGTGAAGAACAGACTAGAGCAAGGTCATGGTGGGAACCAGATTGAGTAGGAGGCAAGCAATGATGGTGCCTCAGCATAGCTCAAGAAGAGTATTTGGCTCCTAGACAAAGTTTTAGAGATAAAACATGCTCGGCTTTCTAGTAGATTGGTTAATCATGTGCAGTGTAAGGATTTGGAGGTAGTTCATTAATACAACAAATATTTAAGCCCACAAGTAGAAGGTACTCTTTGGGCCACTGAGTCCAGAACAGTGAACCAGACCATCCAAATCATCTGCCCTTGCAGAAATGACATCCCAGCAGAGGGTGAGCAAAAGTTCTTTTTTTTTTTTTTTTTTTTTTTTTATAGAGGCATGCTTTATTTATTTGTTTGCTGGTTTCTTTGTTTGTTTTGTTTATACATGCACTGGGTACAGTCAGAAGCGCGGGAGGGCGAGAGAATTCACCAGAGCCAGAGCGGGGAGCAGAGCAGGCAGAAGGACCGAAGTACACTGCTGAGGGGAGCAGCGGGCGGCAGGAGAGGTCCGCGCGCCATGTGGGACCCTCCTCAGGCGGCCGGGGAGCAGCCGGGGATCGAACCGGCACTGCAGAGGCTGCGGGCAGCTTCGCAACCCAGCGCTCAACCGCTGCGCCACCGGGGAGGCCCAGCAAAAGTTCTTAACTTAGTTTTTGACTCACAGTGAGCGTCCATGAACATCGCTATTATTATTATTATTGCCATTGTCGTCATCATTGTTGTTATTTATTCCACCCCCTTCTGCTCCTATTCAGTTCGACACCAATGAAGACGGAGAGATCACCGTGAGGGTGCTGCAACAAGCCATGCACAGTCTTCTCGAAGAGAAGCTCACCCCCTAGGAGATCTCCGAGGTTGTCCAGGAAGCTGATGTGAATGGAGATGGCACCGTCAAGTTTGAAGGTGGGGACAGCGGCTGTGGGAATCCACTTCCACTCCCCATGTGATTTGTAAGTTGGTCATTCCCTCACTTTGAGGTGATAGTGGTAGCAGGGGAGTGAGGGACCTTCTCAAAATCATCTCTGCTCTGTAATTCCCAACAAGGAAAGTTAGTCCATGTCAATTGCATGATTGCCACCTAATAACTTTTTGCTGGGCACCAGCTTACCTGCTGGATGTAGCCAGGCCCAGGTGTCCAGTGGACATCAGTGGAGATCTGGAAGAAGAATGAGAGATTTTTAAGAAGGATCCTCAGGCCACCCTAAGGCAAAGGAAGGACAGGTTGACCTCAAAACTTGGATGAAGCCAGTAAGTTCATCTGATTTTAAGTCATAGCTAAGTCAGACACCATCTGTGTCCATCCCAGGGTCCACTATTCACTACCCAAGTAGCCTCAGGGTTATCAGTTCACCTCACTGACCTCTGTTTGCTTCTCTATAAAATGATATTTACCTGCTCCAGAACTGGTTGAAAAGATGAAGTAAGAGGGCCTCCCTGGTGGCGCAAGGGGTTAAGAGACAACCTATGAAGCTAACCATAGCCACTGCAGCACAAGTCCAATCCCCGGCCAGGGAGCTGACCCACATGGCGCAGCAGACCTCTCCTGTCTCTCCGCTGCTCCCCTCAGCAGTGTATTTCAGTAGATCTACCTGTTCTGTTCCCCACTCTGTCTCGGTGAATCCTCTCCCCCCCACACACACACACACCTCTGGCCTGTAACCCTGTTCTTGTATGCATAAATAAATAAATCTTAAAAAAAAAAAAAGAAAAGAAAAGATGAAGTGAGATACTCACAGTGACTATTTAACACATAGTGTGTCCTGTGGGACACCTTAACTAAGGGTTAAGGTTTTAACCTTTAAAACCCCTGTGATATAAGGAACAATCCCAGAACCCCCAGGAGGGAGAAGGGACCAAGTCATTTTCCAAAGATCATGTGTGGTTCCCAACATAAGGTCTTGAAAAGAGAATGCTGACAGATGCCTCACCAGGGACTTTTCTTGGCAGAGTTTGTGAAAATGATGTCGTGCTTAGAAATTTCTTGAAGTCCCAGTCACACTCCACCTGGTCAGCACAAATTGGCCACTTTGGAGGACCAGATCCCCACAGCGGAGGGTGGGAGGATGTGTGGGACCTGCCCTTGCAGCAGTGTGGATGGAGGTTAGCAGTGTGGATGAGAGTGTTGCCGGGTTGGGGGATGGACAGGGGCCAGGAGAGTCCAGCTCTAGAACTAGATTAAGAAGGAAGACTAGATGGACATCTGAACAGTACCTGGGTCCAGTGGCTGCTCCAAAAATTCCAAGGTTATCTTTGATTAGCCTTAAATCCCTAAGACCTGCCAGATTCTCTCCTCCAGCTTCCTCCCGGGTTAGAATAGGCTTTTCTCCTGTCAGACTGTCAAAAAGTTCAACATCCCCTCCCTGCTTCAGCTCCTTCAAATTCCCTCGGTATGGAGGAGGCCTATCAATCACACGGGCAGCAGCGGGGCTTCTCACTCAGCTGGCTTAGAGATGGTTCATCAAATAAGACTACTCTCCCCTTTTCTGGATTTCCTGGAAGTGCAGTGTATTTCCCTCCCTCTGACATTCTACTTCCTTCTCTCTGAGTCAGACATGCAGGTCATGGAATTAAATCACAAAGCTGGATTATCTAGATTTAGGGTGAGGTGATCACTGGAGAATTAATCCCTTGCAGAAAGGCCAGGATCCTCCCAATCCTCAGCTCCACCAGGTGGCCAGGAAGCCGTCCCTGGACTTCATGCCTGTCTGTCCTGCTGCTCAGGGAGGTCACCCCTGTTAGCTAGGAGTCCACTCCACCCCTCTATGGTGACAATGAAGCCAGAAGGATCTCTTCCACCTTCCTCACCTCTGCCTGCCAGCTGCACTCTCAGGTTCCTCCCAGAAATGCCCTCAGAATAAAGGATTCATTTCACACCTTCCTCCAAGTTTTTCCTCCCTTGGGGAATATGAAGTCAGTGTATTGAATGGATGATTGGTCCAGTAGCCTCATGGTCTATCATTTTGATGGACAGCAGTAGGAGACAGAATAAAATATTTCCTAATGCCAACCATGGCCACTCTCAGTCAGTTTGCAAATGGTCCTAAGACCATGTTCTTTGCAAGCTTCATACCTTTCATTCATTCTTCCCTTCTTCATCTCCCATCTCTCCCTCCTTCCACACTTCATTTACTCAATAGCACTATATGAAGAGCTTGCTGGGTGAAGGCAATTTTCCAAGCAAGGGCTATAGCAGTGAATAAAATATAATAGACAAAACCCCAGGGAAAGAAGGAAGAAAGAGGATAAGGCAAGAAGGGTAGAGAGAGGAAAGGGAAGGAGGAGACAGGGAATAACTACATAAAATTGTATCTGGGCTCACAAGAAGTAGATTCTATAATCCATTATTTTTTTAAAGATTTATTTATTGATGCATACAAGAGCTGGGGTATAGGCCAGAAGTGTGGGGGAGGTGAGAGGATTCACCAGAGACAGAGTGGGGAACAGAACAGGCAAACTGACCGAAGTAACTGCTGAAGGGAGCAGCAGGAGAGTCAGGAGAGGTCTGCTGCGCCATGTGGGTTGCTCCCTGGTGTGCTGCAGATGCTGTGGATTGCTTCGTAGTGTGGTGCTTAACCCCTTGCGCCACCAGGGAGGCCCCTATAATTCATTATTGTTGTCTGCCACGAACATGGGGCAGGGATAAGTGGTATTGTAGTGGATGTTCTACCCTACATTATATATCAATTTATTAATGATTTAATAAGTACCTATCATTGTTCACCCAAATCTTGGATTTCCCAGAAAGAGAGCTGGCTGCAAAAACATTTCCCAGGGTTTCTGGGCTGAGAGTCCTGTCTCCCTGCCATGAGACACCAGCTCAGTCACCATTGTTCCCCTCACCACACATTCAGAAAGCTCTCATTCTAGGCTGAGGAAAAGAGAGCTGCCAACTTAATTTTGGTCACCGTTATTGGTGGTGATGCCACATTTTCCCTCTGTTCTCCTCAAAGGATGAAATGATTAGGCAAGATACTAGACAGAGTGTTTCTAGAAGTGACTGTTTGAAAGGGGCAATGAAAAGGGTGAAGCAGGTTCCTGGTTCCATTGGTCTGTCGTCCTCTGAAGATGTTTCTCCTCCCCTTGAAAATCTTGAAAATAGAATCAAAATTCAACATTCAGGTAATGGGTGTGCACTGACTCAAGGGGCAATGTCAGTTGTCAGTAAAAGTGACTAGACGTTTAGCAGTGAGCCTAAGGTAGCAAATACGGATGTTGATTTTTAAGGCTGAGACCTAGGCAATGCTGTTCTACCCTGCATTATATAACACTTCAATGTTATTGTTTTCCTTATGATTTCATGTTGATTTTCAAGACTCAAGGAAGAGGAAGCAGCTGAATTGAGGGTAGTTACACACCCTCTGCCCCTCACTTGTCTCATTGGAGCTAGAAAGTCCATACTCTGACCCCAACTTCACCTCTTGTGATAAGTTTGAGGGAGAGGTACCTGCAAGAAGACAGCTTTTCTCTGTTGGGTAGAAGATGCAGGCTGGGCACTGAAAATGCTTTCAGTCCTGCCCATGGACTAGGGAGCTCTAGGTATTTCTAATATCCACCCTGAGATGGTCCCCAGAGTCCCAAACCCACTTCTTTGCCTCTCCTCTGTTCAGGGAAGATAATTTTCATGGCCAAGTCTAATTTCAGGAAGAATCCCTAATTTTGCTGTCATAAACTGCATGTGTATGGTGAAAGGCTAACCACGCTAGTTTCCCTTCCTGAGGGGAAGGGGTGGTGGAGTTTTGGCCACACGTCTGATGAAATGGCTTCACCTTACTTTTAAAGTTTAGAAATTAAAGAGTGATTGGGCCAGTTGACCCACGGAGGACATGTAGAAAGAATCCCTATAGCCTTTAGACCACTGAAGCCAGAAGGGAAAGTTAGAAAAAAGGGGGGTGAAGTTGGTTCTGCAAATATATTTGATGGCTTATAGGCTGAGATGGAGGAGGGCACCCAAGCAGTCAGGCAAGGAAGTAAACCCTGTCTTTTACTTAGCTGCTTGGTGGTGGGGGTGATGCTTGTAACACGTGGCTCCATGATTACAGGGGTCCAGGGCAGCCTGGATTATCACCCTTAGGGATTATCTTCTCATCTCGTATTCTTATTGAAGAAAGTCTACTTTCCTAATCTTTCACCCCCTAAAATCTCTCAGATCTAAAACTTGGAATGATACCTTTCTGGGCCTGAAAAAGTGTGCCACCTCCTTCCCCTGTTCTTTTGCTTCACACAGGCACCCCAATTTCTTCTAGTCTTCCAATTTCTAATTTGGGAGCCTTAGTCCCCTTACCTGCCCTTGTCCCCACCCTTCCTACCCCAGCCCCCAAGACATACATGTAGGTGCTGGGGAATTCATTTCGTCTTTGGGAAATGGAGCTTGTCTTGCTCATCAGCCCTGCACACCCAAGGGTGCTCCCTGCTCTCACCTACCTTTGCATCAGCAATACACCCAGGTGTGGTCCCGGTCATAGTCATAAGAGGTTGCACACCATAAAAAGTCCTCGTTTAATCCTTTGTTAGTGCAGTTAAAATAATTTTTGTTTTTATAGTTGAACGGGAAGTGGCAGGGAAAGCCCGGCACCAAGGAGGAAACTCCTAGGGAGAAGAAGAGAGGAAGATTGGTGATAGGCAAGCCTCCACCCTCTCCTAGGGAATGGAGTGGGCACCAACTATGGGGGTCAGAGGGCAGGGCCCATGGCCTGCGAGGGCCTCCTGATTCACAGATCCCAAATTTGCCAGCTTGCCTACTCATTAAGATTTCTTTGCAACCCCCAAATCAAAGCACGGGGTACTTCTGCTGTCATTTGTGGACACACAGAGTGGTGAGAAGTTTGTCACCCACATTCCTCGTGCAATTCCCACTGGGCGAAGTCCTGCCTTTTCTTTCAGCCCCCATTCTGTTCCCTCCTAGGTAGCCTAGGAAGCCCCTTCTTTGCCCCAAGCAGAGCGCTGGGGGAGGAGTGGGGACTGTCCTAAGCACAGCAATACTGCGATGCGCTGCACAGAGAAAATTCTTATGAGTTGAGCTTTGTTCAGGCATAAATTACAGTGCTGTTGGCAGTGAACTCAATGGGAATACTGTACATCATATCAGGTATTTTTGAACAGAAACACACATGAAACCAGGTTATATGTTTTTGACCCACTGAGAAAATGTGCCCAAAGACTTCACGGGCACCCAGTTTCCCCAAGAAACCGTGGCACGATGGATCCACCACGGATTCAGAACCCAATAAACTTCAATGACCCAATCCTAGCTCACGAATCCCCAGGTTCATGCAAGACCCAAATGGAGAGTTGGGAGACTTAAAAGAGAGAGCCTGTCCCAGGACTCAGGCCACCCAAACCAGGATCTGCTGACAGGAATGGTAAAGAGGAAGGGTTGTGCTTTCATTTGTGAGTGGCAGCTTCCCTGACTCCGTGACTCCCACCCCATCCAATCTACATCTGTTTATCCCAAACTCAAAATGGGATCCAAGGGTGACCTGTTAAGAAGTGTTGGCTAACAGGTCAAGATGATTCTATAGCCACCTATTTTGCAAAGGGCCAGATAATAAATATTTCCAGACTTGAGTATCATGGCGTCTCTGCTACAACCGAAGGACTTTGCCTTTGTAGCCAGAAAGCAGCCACAGACTGTCCCTCCAGGAATGGGCATGACTGTATTCCAAGAAAACTTTCTATGGGGACCCTGAATATTTTAACCTATTTGAATATATGACTATTTAAGATAGCATTCACTTGTCACAGAATATTCTTCTTGCATTTTTCCTCAACCACCCAACAAAGTATGAACTATTTAGATATGGGGCTGAGTAGAAGAGCAGGGTCCAGATTACTGGTGTCAGCACAGAGACTCCATTTCCCATCCTTGTCCATGTTCTCTGTGGTTGGACACCAGAGCTTGTTGCTTTCATTCTCAATGCATTCTGAGATCACACTGTTTCTGTAGATGGAGGGGAAGATGCAGGGTTTGCTGAAAGAATTCCCCCCATACTCTGAAAATGAAGGGGAAAGTTTACAAGTCAAGAAGGGACAATGAAAAAGAGCTTTCATTTATCATACACAAACCAAGCATCGTGCGTTAGCTCATGGAAGTCCATGTAATAGCGATTACTCTCAGCATTGCCCTTGATCCATCTTACAGAGCACCCAAACCATTAACACCCACACAGCTTACTGTCTACACTCACAAGGCTTTACTGTCCCAGAGTCTTTGTCAAACCAATTCTACTCATCTCTCCAGGAAATTCTTGACTAGGGAACATAAAACTTGCAAATGACTTTATCACTCCTCTCAGGAACTTCCTGAAAAACCATTTCAATCAACATCAGATCATTCAACTTTTCAGAAATGGTATTGAAAGACTGTTCTTTTTTTAATTTTTGGGTTTTTTTTTTTTTTTAAAGATTCATTTGTTTATGCATACAAGAGCTGGGGTGCAGGCCAGAGAGATGAGAGAGGGGTGAGAAGGGGGTGAGAGGATTCACCAGAGACAGAGCGGGAAGAGAACCGGCAGACTGACTGAAATAGACTGCTGAGGGGAACAGCAGACAAGATAGGAGAGGTCTGCCTCGCCATGTGGGTTGCTCCCTGGCCAGCCGGGGATCGAAGTCATGCTGCCAAGGCTGAGGTGCAGATTGCTTCATTGTGTGGTGCTTTAACCCCTTGCGCCACCAGGGAGGCCCTGAAAGACTGTTCTTGAAGACTCTGAATCCTTCTCACAAATTTTTATAGGGGATTAAGATTTTTTGAGTGTTAAGGGAAGAACATAATTAGGATTTTATACAGGACTAAGTTTGCTTATGACTAGGTACCTCACCTACATTTCCATCTCTATGGGGGCAACAATGTTAAGTGGGAACACATTAAATCTCATCACCTAGGAGTATGACCTTGGGCAGGAGTTAATTTTACTTGGACAGCCACTAGATGGGAGAAAAAATAACATCACAGGGCTTCATTGGAGAGGGACAAAGAGATATTAGATACGGAGTTTCTGGAAGTCTTTATGAAGAGTTTGTATAGAGTTAGGATGAGAGGCTAGAGGCAGCCAACATTTGATGAATCTTGTTATTGTCCACGGTAGAAACAGAAATACTTGGAAACCAATATCACAATGATAGGCCATGGTTTTAGTTGTCAGGGTAACTAGTTTTTCATTAGCATTAGGGTTGGGGGAACATGGCCTCAGGACACTCTTATCTCTTGTGATGGTCATGGTGTACTTTGAAAAGACACTTGGTTCCTAAAGGATTTCTCCTAGTTGCTCTGCTTTGTATCCTGCCACCACCTTTTCATGAGGGTCCCTGTTATCCACCCGCCTCCCTTGTTCCACTACTTCACCATTTGTTTCACAGTATTTCCACTGCTGCTTCTCATCAAAGCTGGAGGTGACTGAACACCAAAGCTTTCCCAAGAAGCTGCCATCTGTGATGCAGGTGCTGTAGGATTTTCCTCTATAGATGAAGGGGAAGATACATCGGGCATTATCTAGAGGGAAAGGAGTCCAAGGGTGATTTGATTTTCTCTACTCATTCATTTTCAATCACCAATCCATGCATCTGTCACTAAAGTACAGAACACACATCTGGTTGGGATGAGACTTTATACATTCATTTCATCAAGCATTTAATGAAGAAAGTCTAGTCGATGTCCTTTCATCCTCAAAGCTTGTCCAATAGGATTCCAATCTCAGTGGTCATAGTTACAGGAACCCTTGATGGTCTGGCTGAAGGAGACTTAATTAAAAGCAATCTCAGTGGTCATAGTTACAGGAACCCTTGATGGTCTGGCTGAAGGAGACTTAATTAAAAGCAAGTTGGTGCCTCCCTGATGGTGCAAGGGGTTAAGCATCAGGACTATGAAGCTATCTGCAGCCTCTGCAGCATGAGTTCGATCCCTGGCCAGGGAGGTGACTTATATGGTGCAGCAAACCTCTCCTGACTCGCCCACTGCTCCCCTCAGCAGTGTATTTCAGTCAGTCTGCCTGTTCTGCTCCCCACTCTGTATGGTGAATCCTATCACCCTCCGCACCTCTGGCCTGTACCCCAGCTCTTGTATGCATAAATAAATAAATATTTCAAAAAATTAAAAAATAAAAGCAGGATGTTAAACCGTTAAGAGCAGGCATTGTGATCAACACTCGTATTCCATCTTTTTTTTTTAAAGATTTATTTATTTATGCATACAAGAGCTGGGGTACAGGCCAGAGATGTGGGAGGTGAGAGGATTCACCAGAGACAGAGTGGGGAACAGAACAGGCAGACTGACCAAAATACACTGCTGAGGGGAGCTACGGGCGAGACAGTAGAGGTCTGCTTCGCTATGTGGTTTCTTCCTGGCCAGCCGGGGATCGATTTCATGCTGCAGAGGCTGCAGATTTCTTCATAGTGCAGTGCCTAACCCCTTGCGCCACCAGGGAGGCAAGTATTTCATCTTTCAAAGTGTTTTTTCTACACACACATTCATGTGATCAGTTATCTGCACATGTGATAATATTGCCCACATTCTCTCTCATAATCCACTTTAGCACACTACACACCTTCTATCATGCAATACTTCCACTCTCCATTGTAAATCGCTTTGGTGGCACACCAAGGAAAGATGCTATAGGTTTTGGTGCAGGCAAAGTATGCATTCCCTCTGTAGACAAAGGGAAAGACACAGGCATCACTGTTGCCTAAAAGACAAAAGGGAAAACAGGCAGGAATTAGTCTCAACAGGTGATCCAAGGATGAGCCTGGATTTGTTTCTCGTGGTGAAGTGAGGGCTGCCCAGCTCCACTATCATCCAACTTCCTAGTGATATACAAGGACTGAGGATATGTTGGGACCATGGGCATTTTGGGGAAGAGTTTCATAAACAGTGATGGATACATGGTTCAACTACACCACTGCTTCTCAGTGTGGACCCTACTGACATCCTACATGATGCATATTAGTGGATCACAAGTCACATAAGGTAACAGAAAGTCACATGTGAAACAATTTTTTTTAAAGATTTTATTTATTTATTTGTACAAACACTGGGTACAGTCAGAAGTGCGGGAGGGTGAGAGAATTCACCAGAGCCAGAGTGGGGAGCAGAACAGGCAGACTGAGGAAGTGCACTGCTGAGGGGAGCAGCGGGTGGCAGGAGAGGTCTGCGCGCCATGTGGGACCTCGCCTGGTGGCCAGGGATCGAACTGGCAAACCAGCGCTCAACTGCTGCGCCACTGGGGAGGCCCACATGTGAAACAATTTTGAAGCACAATGTCCCTTTTTAACCCAAGAGAATTAGGAAGGACTCAGACTCAATACCTTACATAGATCATAGCTTTGAATAGAATTTAATAGTAAGCTTTTGTTTTCATAGTAGTTGTTTGTATTTGGATTTCCTATTTATGGCAAGTAGTAGTGATTTTATAGATGGTACAGTTGGTGTGAGCTGTTCTTTTATAATTTATTTATTATCAGTCATAAGGAAAGAGGGAAGGCTTCCGTTTACAGCAAAATGGCAGTGAGTTGGAGACGATTATGTGGAGTAAATCAGGTCAGGATGACACAGACAAATACTGGACATTTACATGACTGATGATTGAGCAAAGTAAGAAACTAACCAAAACAATGGACTGTGGTGTCGGCTATGGGAGCTTTGGTGGTGAGAGTGCAATGGTAGCATCACCAGGAGGGAACTCCTATACTACCAAAATATAAGCAAATATAAACCCAAGTAACCTCAATAAAAACTTCAAAGAAAAAAATTAGCGAATGTGAATAAAAGACATGAGGCATCTGAGGCTCAGAGGGTGAGGTATGGGAGAAATGGACAAGGGAGTATAAGGGATGAAGGTGGGGAAAAGCAAATAGATGTATGAAGCTGAAAAAAAGTGAGCACATTTAAAGAAAACTGTTGAGTAAATGATGGTGCTGGTGGCGGGCAGCCTGGGCAAATATTGAGACTGGATGAGTAAAATGTAGGAAACACAACTCCTGACCTTTTTATCCTTCTGTCTGAGGACAGGGACTTTACTTTTACATTATGGGTCCTGAGAACTGCAAATAGTGGCTTGCTCCTTGCAGATGCTTAAGAATTAACCAACAGAGGGCCTCCCTGGTGGTGCAAGGGGTTGAGCACTGCACTGTGAGGCAATCCGCAGCCTCTGCAGCACAAGTTCAATCCCCAGCTGGCCAGGGAGAGACCCACATGGCGCATGCAGCAGACCTCTCCTGTCTCGCCCCCTGCTCCCATCAGCAGTGTATTCAGTAGATCTGCCCGTTCTGTTCCCCACTCTGTCTCTGGTGAATCCTCTCACCAGAGGATTCCCCCTGCATCTCTGGCCTGTACCCCAGCTCTTGTATGCATAAATAAATAAATCTTAAAAAAAAAAAAAGAATTAACCAACAGAATAAAATAATGACATGTAAAAGAAAGTTCAACAGGTTTCTTTAATGAAGGACACATCAGACAAGTCAGCATGCAAGCAACAAGGGATTAGCAAGAGAGCTATAAAGTATATTGAGTTGCCTTGTTGTGTTGTTTTTTTTTTCTACTCAGTAGCGCTAGAAATGGATGTTCCCTGCATCATATGCTTAAGTAAGGCTGTTCTAGCCCAAATTCTTCTGATCATTGAGAAGGAGATGAAGACCCACAGATGATAAGGAATCATTTCAAATTTGTACCCTTTGTTGAGCAGAATAAGAACTTGGGGTTCCCACCTATTAGTCCAGGATCACGGCTTCCCTCCTCAGTTACATCTTGCCATCTCCTTCATGTGTCTCCCCCTCTCCCACCCTCCCTCCATCAGAAATAGGAATATGGGGCCTCCCCGGTGGCGCAGCGGTTGAGCGCTGGGTTGCGAAGCTGCCCGCGGCCTCTGCGGCGCCGGTTCGATCCCCAGCTGCTCCCCGGCCACCGGAGGAGGATCCCACATGGTGCGCAGACCTCTCCTGCCGCCCGCTGCTCCCCTCAGCAGTGTACTTCGGTCCTTCTGCCTGCTCTGCTCCCTGCTCTGGCTCTGGTGAATTCTCTCACCCTCCCACGCTTCTGACTGTACCCAGTGCATGTATAAACAAAAACAAACAAACAAATAAAATAAATAAATAAATTTAAAAAAAAAATTCCTTTAAAAAAAAAAAAAAAAAAAAGAAATAGGAATATGGATTACCCTGAGTAAAATACTGGGATAGGTTATTTGGGTGTGTGTGTGTGCACGAGTATACATGTGTGCATGGGTGTTTGCTCTTGTTGCAAAAATGGTTGAAGCAAAAGTTCCATGAGCTCACTAGACCTCACTTTCTTTTCTTTCTGGGTTCAAACTGGAATCTCTGGCTCCACTTTGCTGCCTAAGTTGGGTGGAGCCATGTGACTGAATTACAGTCCATGTAATGTGGGTGGAAATGATGTTCACCATGAGCTGGTTCAAAAAAAAAGCACCAATCCTTCATGTTCCTTTCTTCCTCTGTCTGTCAACAAAATATAGACCAGTGGTTTTGAGTGAAGAAGAAGGGGCAATTTTGAATCCCCCAGTTCATAACTTTGACATTGGTCAACATTTAAAGACATTTTGAGATGTTAAAATTGGGAGAGGAACAAATTGAGGCTACTGAAGTCTACTGGGTAGAAGTAAAGGATGTAAATATACATCTTATAATGCATAGGACAGCCCTCCAGAACAAAGCCATTCAGCTCCATCAATAGTCAATGTCCTGGCAACAATGCAAAGGTTGAGAAACGCTGACAAACAGAACCCTGAAGAGGCCATAGCGATGGTAGAGCTACACAAAAGAAAGGCCCTGTGTTGCTGAATCACAATAAAAAGGGCTTCCCACCAAATACCCATATTGAAGTGTTGCATGAGTTTGATGTGAATATCAGTCACTGACATTTTGGAGTTGTTACAACAGTTATTCTGTTACTAATACAGGTGAACAAGAGACAGCAGTAACCCCAACCCTTCTTCTGGACCAGATTCTTACTCTGTACAATCTGCCATAGGTGATGGTAGTAATGACAGATGGGTTGGGAGAAAGTGGAAAAGGTGGACCTCCATCTTTGAGCCTCACCAATGCATTGGATTGATGCAATTGTGATCCTCAAGTAATATTGCATTTTTTAGCTCTGGGTCTCAGACATTTTGGCCTTGGTTTTTTAAAGCCTAAACTCATTAATAGCTGCAACATATCTGGAAGAATAGGATAACAGGAACATGATTACTACTCAACAAATATGAACTATTGTCATCATCATCAATGTTTTTTCTCAATTACAGACACCACTGAGTCTATGGTATCCATAGGTGAGGAGGGGAGCATGAAGATACCCCCTGTACATAGAATTAAGGTTATTGTTGGGAGTTGTAAGGATCAATATATATTAGATACTATTAGCCATCTGAAAGGTAATGAGCAGATGGTCTAATCTTCTTAAGTGGGTTAAAATCCTCCATAATCTGGGCCCTGCTGACCTCTCTGTTCACACTCCTGATTAACATTTCCTTGACCCTATCCCATATTCTTTCATGTCTTTAGGATTTTTCTCATGCCCTTCATTCTGCCCTGAATGCCTTTCCTCTCTTCCTACCTTTACATCTTACTAGTCATCCACTAAGACTTGGTTTAATCTGGGTTGATACTCTCCTTCACTCTTTGAATACTCTGAGCAGATATCTACAAATTTACCAACCAATTCTCAAAGCATATAATTATCTATTTGCAGATCTATAACATGGATTAGAAGAGGACATTATGTTAAGTGAAATAAATTTGTCATCATAAACACAAATACTGTATGATTCCACTTCTATAAGATACATAGAGGACTCAGATCCATAGAGATAGAAAGTAGAATGGTGGGTGCCAGGAGATGGTGGGTGCTGAGAGTTGGTGGAGACAAGGAATGGGAATTGTTTAATGGAAACAGAGTTTTAATTTTGCAAACTGGAGAGTGCTGGAGATTGGCAACACAACAATGTAAATATACTTAACACCACTGAACTTTACACTTAAAAGTGGTTAAGATGGTAAATTTTATGTTCTGTATATTTAACCACAATTTTTTTAAAAAAAGAGTATGAAGGGAGAACCTAGGTTGGGGTTTGAAGATTCAACCTATTGGAATCCTATAGCACCCTCTTTTTGAACGAACATATTTACATCTGCCCCCAGTGTGTGCTGAGCATTATGAAAGATGCTTTATCCATCATTTTATTTATTCTTCCAAATAGCCCCATGAAGCAAAACGCCCTTATTCCTCTTTGATAGGTTGAGAACGGACTTCAGAGAGGTGACATTGCTTGGCCAAGATCTGTCTGTCCTACACCATCTCCCCCTTACGTGGATCCAGAAATCTTCACTTTAGCCCCTTCATCTTTCCAGTGCCCGGATCCTCCCAGCATCTCTCACTGTACTCACTTCCACTCATCTCAGAGGAGTAGAGGAGGAAGATTGTCCATCTCAACAGGTAAGTGGACCACTGGTTCATTGCAGCTGGCCTCTTCTCTCTAGAGTGAAGGAAGATAACATTTGTGCTTCTCTTTCTCTCCTGACTTGCAGGTTTAATGTCATGCATGGCATTTCTCTTTCTATCCCCAGAGGGTAAGAGAGAATAACGTAATCTTGTGGAAAAGAAAACATTTATACTGTCATTATGGAGAGGAAAGTGGTGGAAAGTGGAGATATAGCATTTACTGAGTATTTACTGCATTCCAGGCAGAAAGTTCTAGACACTCAGAGAGTTCGTGTGAGGTCATAGCAGTCAGAATAATAGCCACCGCCATTCTCCTCGTCCTCTCAACTTTGCTCTCCCTGTCTCCTTTCTCTTGTCCTACCTGTCACTGAATCTAGTTTGATCATCCATTCTGAATGATTCTTGAATTCATTCTTTTCTCTGTCTCTACTGTGACTTGTCAAAATCCGGTTTTTACCAACTGTCCCTTAAAGGTTATCAGGTTCCTCTCATTAATGTCCTGATGTCACTGATGTTCCATTCTCTCCTCATCCAGTCTACACCGCTGTGCACGGACTCTCCCAAGACGTGCTTTCGTGCATTCATTCAGGAACAAGTGTTTATTAGCAATTACAGTGTGTGGAGTGCAGGCCTATGGTGATGGCATACAGCAGCATGTGAAATCTGCATGTAAATTGCAAACCAGATGATGAGAAGGGTGAGGCCCACATGGGGGAAGCTCCTGTGGTGGAGGGGCTCATGTAGGAGAAGAAGTGGATGTGAAAAATGTTTGCGGTAGAAGAGCTACATGGTTCAGGCAGCAAGTTGAATGTCTGGGATGATGAGTAAGGAGGAGTGAGGCCAGAGAGATGTTTGGTGAGGTGGATGTTTGAAAAGTCCTAAATGTAACTGTATACCACTGGAGGGCTAACAGTCATTTGCCACATAATGGCATTCACATCAATGACAGACCACGTACATATGAAAACAGTGGTCCCTATAGACCTGGGTGTGGAGCAGGTGCTACCACCCAGGTGTGTTTTATTATACTCTATGACATTCGAACAACACCACAATCGCCTAACGATGCATTTCTCAGAACAGATCCCATCATTAAGTGATGCATGATAATGGGGACAAATGACATTCATTCATTCAAAATTCTCCATCATGTTATAATAAAATCCAGTCTGTGGTGTTACCCTGAAGTTCATTCCTCATCCCTGTCCCCTCCCTTGATCAACCCTAGCCTTCTTACCATTTCTTGCCTAAGTTGAACTTACTTGTACCTCAGGGCCTTTGTACTTGCTCTTTTCTCCCCCTGGGATACTTCCCCCCAGCATCCCCTAGATATTTGCAGGGCTTTCCTCTTTGTGCCAAAAAGGATTTTGTGCAGATCTGAGGAGTCGATCTGGAATGACATTCCAAAATGCTAATAAGTGTACTTGAATCAAGCCTTGGATATTAATAGAAAATATTTGGGGCATGATTGGAGACAATAATTGAGACTTAGTAGCCAGACACCCACCGCTGGAACATTCAGGTGAGGACCAAGTTATTCCTTAAGTGCTGGCATCTTCAAACACTTTGGATGACTTTTTGTACAGGGCCAGGATGTAGGGGTGGAGGTGGGGTCAGATTATTGCTGATCTTAGGAGAGAAGGGTGCTGTAGCTCTGGAGTCAAGGCACAGTCAGTGATGGGTGCTGTTTTCCTAACATCCACCTGAAGATCTCATTATAAATACTTATAGATGCTATATAGCAGTTTGTAATTGTTAGGGGCCATACAAATTGGGTATCAATTACTAGTTATGGCGATGGGAGAGAGATAAATTTTGTCACTTCCTCTAAACACTTCAGCACTGCAGTTTCATGCCTATGTCACTGGCTTACCCAAACCCCCAATAGCTATACCTTCATTAATCTAACTATCTCAAACCTTCTTTTCTACCCAAGATTCAAATGCAAAAAATGTTTTTTGCCTATATACTAAGATCTAGATGCTTAAAAGCACATGTCCTGGGTTTGCAAGCTCTGCCTCTTACGACGTTTGCAGGCTTAAGAAAGTCACTCTGTGCTCTGGATTTCAGCTCTTCAATCTGTAAAATGGACACGATGATGGTGATAATAGGATGAAAATTGTTCCTGACTCAGAAAGTTAATATGAGGTCATGGTAGGCAGAATACTAGCCATTACCACCAAAATTCCATGTGCTAATCCCCAGAACTTGCAGATATGTCATATGACATGGCAGGGGATTTTGATGAAGTTAAGGATCTTGAGCTGGGAGGATAATCCTGGGTGACTGGATGACTTGTAGCAGGTCTCCTCTATTTTGCAGTAGAAATCATCCCTAGACTACTAAAAATTAGGAATTGGAAGGATTAAACTCTAACCACCCTCTTGCATGAAACCATCAACACAAAGATGCACCTGCCCCACGTGTTCATAGCAGCATTATTGACAATAGCTGGGACATGGAAGCAGCCTAAGTGTCCATCCATGGATGACTGCATCAAGATGTGGTATATCCATACTGCAGAGTACTTATCATTGCAGCCATTAAAAGAAAATGAAATGCAGCCATTTCAACAAAATGTAGGGAATTTGAGAGAATTATATTCAGCAAAGTAAGTCAGAATGAGAAAAACAAATACTGGACAAAATGAAAAAAAAAAAAAATGCTGTTGAGAGAGTGACCAGCAGACAGCATAGACAACAGCCTCTGCTCTTGGTTGTTTTACATAAAAAATGTCACAGTGGATCAATAAAAAGAGAATGTCACTCAACCAGAGTTCAAAACCCAGTCCTTCCAATTATTTGCTCAGTGGCCATGGGAGGTTATTCCACTTCTTTGACCTCCATATTATTTCCGTGTCCTCATCTGTCAAGTGGGGAATTTAGTCCAACTATGAACGCTGTTGTGAGAACTTCAGAAGGACACGGGCATAAGGTCACTGGAGTACAGTGTGTCTTCAAAATACTGAGTCCTTCTGCTCCTCAGCAGTAAAGGACTTCTTGTCTGAAACAAAACCTTATTGTCAAAGCCCTTCACATACACGCATACCCATAAACACCCCCCACTACAGACACACACCACACACACACACACCCCTCAGACAAGCACACCCCACATATACTCATATCACATACAAATACCCCACTACACACATACCACACACACACATACTTTCAATACATATTTAGACTGTCATTGGAGGGAGAAGCATTGGAATCTCGTGAAGATCTCCTTGAATCTAAGCTTTCTCCTTCATCACAGAGGGAGAGTGACCCTTACCTCAGAAGGATGGTCCAAAGGGTCATGAAATCTTGAAACTGTAAGTCTGTTTCAGGAACTTAATAGTCAACTTACCCAGGCTAATTCCCTTCCCATCTGTTTGCTCCAAACTTGGGATCAGCCACTTTCCTTAGCCTTGCATTGCTCATAACCTGGCTGCTGAGTATAGAAAGGGATCTTCCACCACCACCCCCACTCTATCCCCCAGCACCACCACCTTCTCTGGCTTTTCCTTACTGGAGTCCAGAGATGTGCTGTCCAGTGTGATGGCTGCCAGCCACCTGTTTAATGAGTACTAGAAATGTTCTGATTGTCATAATGAGCTCTGATTTTCATAAATTATAAGTGAAAATATTTACTAGATGCTGAAGATGGTATATTTAAAAAGTAAAAGATCTTGCTCTATTTTTTTTGTGTTGATTCCATGTCAAAAGTATAACCCTTTGGATACCCTGGATCAGTGAATATACTATTAAAATTAATTGTACCAGGGCCTCCATGGTGGCACAAGGGGTTAGGCACAGCACTGTGGAGCTATCCTGCAGCCTCTGCAGCATGAGTTCCATTCCTAGCCACCGCCACATGGTGCAGCAGACCTCTCCTGTCTCCACTGCTCCCCTCAGCAGTGTATTTCAGTAGATCCACCTGTTCTGCTCCCCAGTCTGTCCCTGGGGAACCCACTCACCCCCTGTACCTCTGGCCTATACCCCAGCTCTTGTATGCATAAATAAATAAATCTTAAAAAATAAAATTAATCATACCTTTTTCTTCTTATTTTTTAAAATATGACTCCTATAGAATTTACAGTAACATATAGGGCTCACATTTTATTTTTTACAGAAGTTCACCCTCACCCCACTCTAGTGTCTCCTTCCTTGCTGTGGGGCCCCCAGACACCACCCTTACACCCTCTCTGATTCCCAGGTTGTGGTGTACCTTTAAGAGAGTCCTTATTAGCCCTAGCTGTCGCCAGGAGTTCTCTATTCTGTTCCCAAGATCTCTGAGGATTGGTCGGACTGTTTTGGCCTCAGCCTGCCTATAGAACGAAACTGCAGGTCCCCAAAGGAAAGATTTCTGTAAGTGGTTTCAGGCAGAGACAGTTCAGATGGGCTAGCTTTGTGGTTAATGATACTCCAGGATGAGCCCATGCATATCCACAGGGCCCATAAAATGCAGTCTTGTGTGAAGTAATGAGGTCTTGAGGGGACTGGGGTCATGGACAAGAATATTAATGAACAGAGGAGAAAGTGCTCCGGGATATTCCAAGGAAGAGGAACAGTTTCAATGGAACAATAAAAATGCCCTGGAATTTTCTCATGAGAAGGGAAACAGGGGAGAATTGAAATCAGTCTTCAGAAGCACATTATCTGACTTTTCCTAATTTTAAGTTATATTTGACCATGCTGGAGTTTTTGGAACACATTCACCTACCATAAATAAGGCAGGAGAATAGAAAGTATTTATTTATATCTACTTTGTGTCTCTGTGGTTGTTTTGGATCCCAGATACATTCTATTACACCAAATCTTTAGGAATTATTCCATACAGTGTGCAGGCCTTTTCAAAGTCCTATTTTAGAATCCTTCCAGTAAGGTAAACACAAGTGAAAAGTATGGCAGTTTTGTCCCCTGTCATGTAAACCATGTGAGACCATCTTTTCTTCTAGATAAAGCAAAGAATATAAAGAGCGTGAGAGAAAGAAGAATGTGGCAGAGAAAAACAAGGCACTCCAACAT